CACTTTCACAGCGGATGGACATATCTGAGTGGGATTTCATGTGCCATTTCGCCTTCCAGAGGACGACGATGGGGCCTCCTCTGAACCAGAAGAATTCCTCAGTGACAATGAGTGGGAGAGCGGAAGGTGGGGGGCCTCCACGTTAGCCTCGGAAAGGGATGATTCCGATGTGCCATCAGCGTCACATGCCTCTCAGCGCCGCAGGAGGTCCATTAAGAAGCGTTTGCCACATCCACGAGTCCCCTCTCAGAGCACGAGCCTCACACATCAATGGCATCAGCGAGGCTGTTCCTCACGTCAACGCTCACCTGCACAAAGAAGCAGATCACCAGAGCATGTACAAAGCTCTTACCATCCGCACGACCTGCGAGCGGTGGAGCAACATCCAGTTCATCAAAGCCCCTGGCCTCCGCGTCCAGTGTCTTCATCCGAGGAATTCTCTCATCATTCCTCTCGCTTCTCAGGCCATTCAGGATCGGGGGGCCTTAGACGCCATCGTGCAGAGTCTCCACATGCACTTGAACACCATCGCCATCTTTCGTCTCCAGGCACAGAAGATGTCCGGTTCCACCAAGCCAGAATGCCATCAGGCCACACCTCCATCCCGACCCCCCGTAACTGGTCAGAAAACCTACGCTCTCGTCCTCCTCCCCTGCCATCCTCCGATAAGCTGCTGTCAGGTGCGAGAGCACCTCGTTATCCCCCAGAATGGCATCGCCCTTGTTCACCTCCAGTCGGGGAAGATGTACAGTTCAACCTAGCCCATACCTCAGCCCCTTTCTCCCAATACACGTCAGGATTCCCACCCTCTCGTCCACCCCTGCCATCCTCCTTTGAGCCACCGCCGAGACCAAGAGCACCAGCCTCAGATGTCGCATCGTTCACCTCAGTCGAACAGATCATGGTGCAGGAAGGGGGTATGATGTCCTTGCTGAAAGAAGCTATGATTATTCGAGGTATGCACAGTATATTACGGCGTTCTATTTGCCATTCTCACACTACGTGATGATATCGACAGGAGCCCCCCCTCTACCCATTCAGCCCCTTTCCCCCACTCCCAAGGCTGCAGACCATGTTCGAAAATGGAGGGAAGGGCTATCTCGTAAGTGGTATACCGTTTTCATTTATCAGGCCATTCCAGTCTAACACGTAAGGTTACCTCAGAATCCGCTGTCAAGCGAGCTTACCGTCAGACGGCAATCTGCATTGTGGCAGTAAATACCCGTGATGTTTGTCCTTACAATGGAACATATGCTTCCTGGGTTGATGCCACCCCTCCGGCAAGAACAAGTGTCTTAAACACTTCTCTGAAGTATCGGGAGTTCGTGGACTTTTACCAGAGACCAGTCAGCTTCGACCCGCTTCGTCCACACCTCACGCTCATTGAGCGCCACCCCCCATTTTGTTATATCAAAGTGCCAATCCTTAACATTGACTTGCAACGTTCTGCTGATAATCTGAATTGGCTCCCAACGTCTGAGTGGAGGGAACGGATCATGGGCACACAGTCTGTGCTGAGTCAACTTCTTCACCGTGTCCAGAGCACCGTCTCTCATCTCTGCTGCACCGAGATCCCCCCCAAACACCGTGAAACCATGGCGATACTGAAGCCTGAATCGGAAGCCTATCTTCAGAAGCTTCTCCAAGCCCGAATGATTGCGCAGTCCGAGACTTATCACCATGAAACGGTTGGCGAGATTGAACGCCGGATCGGAGAGCTACGAGGGCATTTTCGCTACTGCCTCCTTATTTCCCTTGATGCATGTGCCATATTGGGTGGTAACAAGCTTCCGACCTGGCCGCTTCAGGAAGAGGCCATCGGGACCATCTTTGATGGTTCAGACAGCACCCGTACTGAGGTCCACAACTCCAACCTTAGTGCCTCTGCCCAGGCATATGCTCTCACTCTGGAATGGTGGGGAGTTCCCCATTGGAGAGTGGAACATGGTGACAACCGCTTCGCCGTCTTTCGATCATGTCCGCCCATGCTTGATTTGGTAGCAGAACATGCCCTTCAGCAGGAAATACGGAGCCACGCAAGGGGAGACATCACTATAAGATTTGACTTTGCTGTTACAGAAATCATTGCGTGGCCCTGTCCGCCACAGCAAACCCTGCTCGCAGCTCCATCAAATGATTTTTCTGCTCAGCTCTTTGTGATGGAGCAATGTCTCACAGCGCTTGCCCCTGAGGGGGTTCCTATCCCATTCAAGGACTTCTCTGCCAAGGTGAAGAGCGTGCTGCAAGGAGTCTGGGTAGACTTGAAATACGAAGAAGGCCTGCATTCTAGTGCGGCCTTGGAGGGAACAAAATGGAAGACCATGAGAGTCCCGTTCCCCATCGGTGCCCATGCTCCACTGAAGGCGGCGTTTGTCAGAATCCCTTTCTCGTACTACCAACCTCATCATCCTCTTCCGCTGTCATTTCAATCCATACCTTGTATCGTCCCGCCTAGCGCTACTAAGGAGGGCCATCGTACCCCTGATGTGTGGCTAGGCACATCCATATGGCTGTCAGGTCCGGCAGTGGAGCTGCGCGATGATTTGGAGGCTGTCAAGCAGCGGGGCTTTCTTGCATATCGAGAAGTACGTGACCGCACTGTGAACCAGGAAGTTGTTGGCCGGGCTGGTACGACTCATTGTCTTAACTTGCTCTGCAAGACACAGGAGGGAGCTCAAAGCCTCAAGCGATACCTCCAAGCAAGATACCCCGATGCTGTTCTCAAAGATATTGAAATGGAGGACTATACGCCAAGCAGGTACACCGGTGTCTATGAGCTTGGATATATCAGCGAGACCCTTTCTCGTGGGTTTGACAAGACCATAGTCATGACTCTCCTGGATCGTGCACCAGCCCCTCTCATCCCTCAAGGTCCAGACACCATGCCTAGTGAGATAGCCAAACTCTGGGCCCGGATCTACTCGCAGGACCTCTTCGAATACAATCGCTTCCAGATCATGACGACGACAACCAACTCAGGATGCATATTGTTCAACGTGATTGAGGTGATGTTCAGATCTGATGTGCTTGAAAAAATGTGCCTGCGTAGGCCCCTCGAGTTGAGTGAAGAGGAATATCTAGGTCTCCTTCGTTTCTGCCTCATCCTTTGTCGCCTTCGCCACTTCAAGCGTGCATTCCGCCAAAGGATCTACCCTGCGGAAGGTTCTATCTACCCCCGTGTTGTTCGTTTCATTGCCGATTCTGCAAGGCACCTTTTTGAGGGCATCGAACTTCGAACAACGGAGATGTTGAAGAGGTCAGGAAACCCGCCTCAAGATGAGTTTGAGTCTATTCACTGGCAGCCCAAAACTGGCCTCTTTGCACTTAAAGTGGCAGAGAGCCCTCCTGCTCCCCCAAACAGGCCGACTGTGGAAGAATTACACTCCCATTTCCAGTTGTAGACGCAGTGGCCATCTGTGGCCGTTTCCTATGTACGCTAAAACCTGCAAGCTGCCCTACTCCCGTTACCTGTTGCTCAGCCCATGGGTTGGGTTCTATAACAGCGTGTTTATTGTAAATAACTTCGAAAATACAATCTATTACTCTGGCAACATGTAGGCCCACATATTGATAATGTCTTCCTCCTCGCCAGCCTCGATCTCATCAAGCAACTGTAACACCTGCATTGCAACGCCCCCGCCATCGGCACCCCTTTCGCAAAGCTCCTGTCCAGCAGTGTGAACCATTCTCCAGTGTTGCCCAATGTTCAAGACATTGGGAGGTGGCTCCCGCCTCTCAACATACTGGGCGACGATGTCAATCCTCACAAGGAGTTCAACATCTTCCGCCGCTAGCGCCTGCAAACGAAGGCCTGGAAGGATTCTCTGTGCGCTCCGCCACACTGAGTGGCGTGCACACTTGAAGAAGGCATCAAAGGTAGGAACCTCGCCACTCATGCTCGTTGTTGAAGACGGTGCCTCCGATGGTTCACGAGCCGCTGTCCCTCCATTCACAGCAAGGTGTGTGCCTCCGTTATTTATGATCCTTGACACCTCTCGAACCCCAACAGGAGTACTAGCCACTGTCCCTTCGTTCACAGTGAGGTGCGCGCTTCCAGTATTTATGATCTTTGGTGCCTCTTGAACTTTGACGGGAGTACTGTGCGGCGTTGGATGGATTAACCTAATAGGCGGGATGACCATTGGCGTAGGTGGCTCCATATTCGATTTACTGGCCTGTGCTGTGAAGACGTCGTTTTCCGGTTCGTCAGGGAGTCGCGGCCCACATTCATGCCAGGGGGCTTGATGTGCGGCCTGCAGAGATCCAGCTAGGTCTATCACCTCCATTTTTACTGGCGAGGAAGACGTGCTCAGTTCAGGCGAGTGTTTGGGCAGTGTTTCAGGCACTGTTCCCTCATCCTGTGGACCCGATGCCTTGCACTCAAGTAGGGCAGTCTTCCTTGCCTGTTTCTTGGCCCTAGGTGTCGCACGAGGACGTTTGGTTGAGGTGCGCGTACGCGTGGCTCTAGACCCCCTTTTGATTCGCTTAGGAGATGGGGTGGGTATTGTGCCATCTCCAATTGAACCTCGTTCCATAGACACAGTGGTAGGGTCTGGGGTGCTTCCCTTACGTTTGTGGGATGATGCCGGGATGATGGCCGTTTTCCCAACTGCTCTCCTTACTTCATTTTGAGGTAACGCATATTTACTGACGTTGCCGTTCCCATCCGGTGCATAGTGTAACACCTCACACTTCAGGTACTCATCTGGTAAGCCCATACCCATCAATCATGCCTTTTGAGTTTCATTGACATTCACCGTACCATCTGTCATGTGTTCCACCCTTAAGGTCTGCACTGGATCCTCATGATCGAACTGTAACATGCACCGTGCAGTTTCGCATGGGGTCCAATCACACGGAAGCCCTCTGTTTAGGTGTCGAACACCACGATGCCAACTGGCAAAACGGAGACGGTGTTCAAGCAAGAACGGAAGTATGTTGACGCCTCTCCAGTTGTGCCCAAGGTCCATTATGCCTGTCGCCTCCTCTACAAGTAGACATCACCAATGAGCAAAGCGGATAGTGCTGCAAAAGTAGGACATACAAATCATGGCTTTGAGCTTCCCAGCACAATCAGTGCGGCGAACGGTATGCGCCCCATATGCCCAGTCTATAGTGCTCAGGCCTTCCTTCATCTTCAATAAAGGTGTGTGATAATCCACGTCCTCTGCATCACACTCAACCTCTGATTTCGCAGTAGTGTTACCCAAATATCGGTCCAGATCATCACTGAAATGGACGCTTTGCTTCGCCTGCGTCACAATGGACTTCATGAGACCAGAGGCCCCAAACACCTCGCTGGTAGACGTTTTGGAGTTGTTAAATGCTCCAAGATGATGAAGGAAGTCTCTGCAGCAATTTCAGCCTGTGCAGACTGCGAGGAGAAGTCACTCATACCTCTGTTTGATGGCATCAGGTTGATATGGGCTGAGGGGATACAAGTAAGCCAACAGTACCCTTCTAAACATAAACCCGTACCTGAATGCCTTTATTCCATCGTAAAAGTTTCTCATCGCCAATGTGGCATCCTCTGCAAGGGGTAGGCCCATAGCTTTGACCATTTCCGCGATCATCGGAGAGCTAGTAAAAGCGATAGTCGAGTCTCGAGGGGAAAGTGTGTCATCTGCTATGAATCCCACTACAGCCACACCAATGGGGTGAATGGTGCTGAGTGCGGCAAGCTACCACAAAGCCTTAGTTGAACCAAATCTAGTAGTCCCTAGAATCCTGTCCACTGTACCTGAGCGGCGTACTTTCCGGTTACCTTCTGCAACAGATAGAGGCCTTCGTTGGGTTTAGCATCCCTTTCATCCTTTGACAAAACAATGTCTCCACAATGTATCAGGACTTTTTCGTAAAATGCATTCACCTCTGCCGTGCAATCGGGGTAGTGCTTCTCAACAGCTTCTTGGTGTGATTTACGCAGCCTTGCAGCCTCTTGACTATCAATTCCAGCTGGGAAACAATTAGTCCCGAATATGGGCTGCAAGTATTACGGCTAAACTTACGGTGAAGCTTGAGCCATGCCTGCCAGGCCGTTTGGCCCGCTTCGGAAGGATTGTGTAATCGGAAACGTTTCATGACTTCTTGGGGTGACCTCTCCCTTTTCTTGGCATAGCCTGCGATGCAAGCTTCCAAAAAAACTGTGCAGTGGCTTCTAAGTGTTTTTAAACATTCCAATAGGTACAAATGTACCTTCGAGGCTCAAATCATCTGTGACGTGTCCGTTCTCTAGAATCTCGCCAATATCATCAACTGTCTGAACAGATGAATGACCCCATATCTTCTGCACAATCTCCTTCAAAATTTTCTCCGGGGGGGCGAGGGGTTGAAATCGTGGTCTGTTTGCAATTGAAGTATGCTGCATAACTAGCTCTTTCAACTCCGCAAATGGACCCTCTGTAGCTCTGAGGAATTCATTGGCAGTGGGAGCTGTTGTCAAAATGGTGAGGCCACTGGAAAAGTCGGCCTGAAGGGTGAGGATTGACGCGTCAAATGTGCTAGAAGACGCATTCTGCAAGGGGGAGGACATTCTGGTGATCTCTTGTCTTAGCGGCTGCTAGGTCAAAATTGCATCCGATCCATCAAATTAATCAAGCTAAACAAACATAAAGGTAGCTGCCTGTATCCCCACCGTTTCACCCTCTCCTGCCCCGTTCAATACACCCTGTATACTGCAACATTGTAGACACAAACACCGAATAAAGTATTTGCCATTCTGCCCATCCCTGCCCATTATGTGGGCCACATCCATCCGGAACCATCCAGTAGCCGATTTCCACCCCAGCTCCCCGTTTGACTTGCCTGGAGTGTTCAGTGCCCTGGGTAGAAGTTCTAGGTGGTGCCCGGGAAATTTGGTAGGCGACGATCAAAGCCGACATTTGTATTCTGAGAATGTCGGGGATTCGATGAAAATATTCTGTGTGCGCACAATATTGCTCCTGAGTCCTGCTCATGTGAGTTGATACAGGCCATCTGCCGTGGGGAACATCTTTCAATGAGCCAAACGGCGGGATCTGCGGAAGGCCTGCATGTGGTCAGCCTAAAGCGCGGTGGCAGTGCTACCGCCGTTTGACCACATTCATACCCCATCACTCATATATCACGCGACCACATGCATTCCCTCCAAACGGGACAATGCCGGCTGATAGATATCCACATGCGCATTTGAAGTGAATACGTTGAGGAGCACTGCCCGTGAGAAGCACTGGCACGGTAATTACGGTACACATGTCAATCACCATTATAAGAACAAGCGAGGTAAACTTTTGTCCTGCGCGCGAATCACCGGAAATATCCGGGGCGTATATGGAAGATTTTACTGAGCTAAGCTATACACTTAGACTGTGAGTGAACCGCTGGGAGACGGGTTGGAGCGTGGTTCTAAGAGCGTGTGTGTACAATGGATTACCTTACTTTACATCAGGGTAATTTTTGTCCCTGTGCCAGACCCATTATGTCACGCCGACGCCGATGCCGCCGGCTGCTGACACTTGTGGTGGCGTCTTTGAATGGTGGGTTGCGGTGTCATTCAATGTGTTCCATCAAACTGGACAATGCTGGCCGTTGGTATCTATCTATAGAGGCTGGTATCCTGCCTACTGTTGGTACTACTGCTCCAGTTTCGAATGAAATGCCCGTTAGGGGTGCGCCATTACTACGGGTGTCTCTTTCTCACTTAGGGTTCCCGGGATTCCCAAGTTCATAAAGGATAAAAGCCAGCTGAGAGTGTGATTAGGTTCCCCCCCGGAACGATGGCAGACGAAAGAGGTTAGCGTCTGTTTCTTTGCTAAAGCGTTGTACCGTTGATCTATTTCCGTAGCCGACATCTACCTACAAACGCCTACACCTGATACCGGTAGTGGTGAGCATGATAAACTCACCACCGCTGCACTTCTATTCATCCGTCGCGGAAATAGCTGATGTGGAAAAGACTCAGGTTGATGGGAGCGACCTCCAGCGCCCATCTCAGGAAGGCACACCCGAGAACAACCCTGAAACACTGGGGCTACCCAAGTCCCATTGGTGGAGAACAATTCCATTGGGCCTCGTCTTCATTGCTATCGCTGTCGGATCGGAAGTCGTATTAGACCACACCCGCAACGGAATAGGTGGAAAACTACCGACTCTGGTGTATGAATAGTCAGGCTCATTCATCCTCACTAGGATTTGAAATCATTCTCAGCGATGCCGGACTCTCTCGCGCTAAACAGTTCCTGAAGGTATGGCTTTCCTACTTCATGACCGCATGCGTGGCGACTGAAATGGGGTTCCTCAGTCATTTGGGCCATCTATTCTTTTCGGTCCATTATTCCATTGGTTCACAAAGCCCTATGTTATCAAGCTGCTCAAAGTACACCTAATCATTCCTAGTTGTTCAATAACGCTAATGTACACTATGATAGCCCTTCGAAACGAAGAGGTATGATTCTAAATCTGATGTGCCTATTATTTGTTCGCACTTCATACTTCTTTTCGTGGTCCGGGTTGGGCTGTCTTTCTCTAATTTTAGGATGCACCATTGGGCGGTCTCCATACTCTCCTGGATCGCAATCAGCGGTAGCCTTTTCCATGCTCTGGCTGGAGCATATTTCGAGATTGTTCCGGCGCTCCCGCAGCAGGAAGTGAAAGTGCGTATCTCAGGTAAAACCGCTCTGGGCTATGGCGATCTCGAATTCACCCCGTTCGTGAATGCTGCAGGGGTGCGTGATTCTGTGGTGCACCATTCACCTATGACAACTGATCCTACGTTCCAGTTTGTGGGCACCGCTAGTTAGTCAAGATCATGAGGAGTCCGTCAATAGGTACTGAGTTATCTCTCTAGGCAGGATCGGTGGTATGTATTCTCCATTTATCCTTAATGACACCAATAGCAAGACTGGGAACATCTGGGTGGTGCCGGACTTTACTGTGCGTATTCGTTATCGGCTCGTCGCTATGCTACCTTTGATCATTGCTGCCTTCAGCTCGAGGATCCAAGTGCATCTGCCCAAGGTGGGAACGTGAACGTCACACTCAGGGGATTCTCAGTGCAAGCCAGATGTGCCCCGGTTCCGTCACCAGTAATATCGGGTCCAGACACCGCCAACAGGTACAACATAACAGGGACTCTTTCCCATAACTGCTCCGCTACATCCAATGCCATCTCCAATGGCACAAAATGGGATGGCTGGATGGTCTCCGCCCCTTTTGGATGTGTGCGAAGCATCGACCCTGGTAACAACAACCCAGTCCCTAGTGACCCGCGGTTTTCTCCCGTGGCATTCTCTTTCCTCAAAAACATATCGAGCTACTCAATGGTCTTCTGTTACAGCCTGGTAGAGGAGCATGATCTCACCGCTACACTCGCACTCCATGATGACACTCCAGCCATTTCCGATGTCGTGGATCGAGGTAACGTCTCATTCCTCAGTTGGGGTCCCAGCGGGTAAGGCGTTCGAGCAAGCGTATTCGCATTCATACTGATATGCAGTTCCAGGATAGACTGGCCAAGCAGTGACCCCCGGGTGGAAGGCATCGGAGACGCAATCCGCTTTGCCTTGGCTGGTTCCATCATGAACCTTGCGGGTTTATACGAGATTGGGGCTGAAATAATCACATCACTACAGGACAGCACTCTCAGGGACTCAAACTCCGTGGTTGGACTTGCCGAGGAGGCCGTTGTAAGTGATGCGAAATATACAATGTCTACTTTCCCCAATGTCTTCATTACAGAGAATTTTCCAAGCAACCGTCGTCCCTTCCATGCTAATCGTTGGGCCACCGTATTTCCCAAATGCCATACTGGTGGTGCAGGCATATGGCATGGTTGCCATGTACGTGTTCATTTCGTGTATCTTATCACTCGCAATGTCTCACGCTTTGGAACCTTAGCCCTCATGTGGCACATGTGATAACTGTCCTGTGCGCTATCGTTGGATCCATTCTTATCGCGCTTTCCATATATCATTTCTGGCGGCGCAAGGAGTTATTGACCAATGCCGCACCTTCAGCGACTACGACGGCTCCAGCGTTGGCTTCATGAAACGAAGCCCCTGGCTACAAGGTTGTCGGGATGTTGATGCTTCAACCTGCTGGTAGCGATATGTGGCAAGCGTGGAGTCAACTGGCCCGGCAACCTCACATCGGCAGCTACGGAACATATCCGAATGGATTTTTTCCCTAAGTAGTCGCATGTATTACCTTGTTTGTAGGGTCAGCCTGGAATCTCTGTTCATAAATGCCTCTAAAGGAGCGAAGCGGTTTCGATATAAATAGATGTCATTCATAATCTGTTCGATGATATAATCCATGAATAATTTCCCTTCACGTCTTAGACAGACCTTGGCCGAAATATGTTAAGCCGCCGCGCCTTTCTCAGGTGCCGAGGCTGGACACAATGCATCAAACACGCGGCAAACGCGCCGCAGCAAGTGTTCAGCAAGATGAACAAACAATGGTTGATTGGATCCTAGACCTCAGATATTATATATTATTATGAAGTCATAGAGGCTGGAGTCCTGCCTACTCAGATATGTGACAGTCCAACAGGAGACAATGAGGCATGCCAGGCGTAAGAGAGGACTTCGAGAATGAAGCCACCTTCTCAAGTGCGTATATGCATATCAGTACAAGGAACGGGAGCCGCAAGGTGGAAAATAGCCTCAGCATTCCCATTTCTTGACTTTGTACTGATGAAAGTGGCGCCAACTCGGTGGGGCTGCAAATGGTCAAACATGACAGCTTGTGTGACAGTGTCTGCAACTTGGCGATGGAAATGGCACCTGCAGAGATAATGAACAATCCTGAACATGCGCTCGCGGCGATGCAAGCGTCTTCCTTTCCATTACAGTCACCGATGTCCCTCAATGGATTAAATCGCGCTGTCACTCTAATGAGTTTCCCGCCAGCTCTGATTTCGAATTGACCGGCGATGTCAACGACGGTTGGCAGGACTGGGGTACTTATTCTGCTCTGTCTATCTAGGGCCAACGTCACGAGCATTAGAGTGGTAGAAATTATCCTGCATCCAACTCTTGGGCTATTTACACATAAAAGGAAGGCCATGTCAAGATGGGTTGCAAGTGGGGAATGCATCGATTAGAACTCACCACTTGAGCGGCTCTGCAAGTATGAAGTATTTGATCAGGGGAACCGCTACCTGTGCCATGTTGGACACGAATATAAACAGTTTGGACGGGCAGACATGGAGCGCATTCCAATGGAAGCTTGGTTGTGACTGGTGTTGGCTGTATCGGCCTGAATGGATTGTACATAATAGAGTGCGTGTGTTCACACGCGTAACCTTCACAGCTTGGTGTGGACATTGCGATTGGCGTTCGAGGTCAAATTGTAAACATATGGGCGGTTCCAAGAGAAGGCATTCGATGCAAAGGAGTGGAGGAATCAACAATTCCTATCTTTCCCATTCAACAACATTATAAACATGTGAAATGGGGCAAGAAGGTAATTGAAGGACGGCAAATAACGGTGGGTGGTGTGTGCTCGTTCACCGATTGTCGCGGTCAAGGTCAAAAAGGGACTCACGGAATCACGATCCAAACTACTAGGGTTTCAAATTGGCAGACCTTGTTCCATGCTACCAAGAAGAGTAGAGTCCTTGCAGACTATTGGCATGAGGTTGTAGAGTGAGGTGAATGTCGCAGCTACCTGACCAGGAGGTGCAACTCAACTTCAGAAGGTCATACCCCAAGCATGACTTGGATCGAAGCCGCACTTGCGATTCCCCCCATGTCTGACCACATGAGCACAATAGGGTCATACCCCCGACGCACCAGAACCGGTGCGAGCGCGATACGATGTGTTGGAATCATGAGTCACCGGAACCCTCCGCAGTGTTCTGGATTGCCGTGGGAAATCCCCAGATATTTTCAGTGAATTCCTGCTTGGTCTGTGCTTGCGTAGTAGTTTATTTTACAGATATTATCGTTGTAATACATTTCACGCATGTATACTGTACTGGCACGACCAACAACCTGTCACGCGTCACGCGAAGGTCTTGGATTGAATTAAAAATCAACAAAATTGAATTGATTTATGGCTCCGGTAACTCCCGGAGGTCGTGGGAAGAGGTTGTTGGTCGTGCCAGTACAGTAAATACGCATGGACGAACCCTGCTAGGGCCTGCTCCTGTGCCGGCGAGAATTCTGCAAAGAACTCAAAGCCTAATTAATGGCTCTCTATTGCCTGGAAGCAGCAGTACAGTAGTAAACAGAGGGTTGAGGTGGGCGTACCGGCGGCTCCGAGGTGAGGCTGGAAGTCTTCTCCCTAATTGACAAAAAGGAGTTACCTTGCACTGCCTAGCGCGGTATTTACGTACTCCCAAACATTGAGTTCTCAATGAGGAAGTTGCAGCCCTTCCTGTCAACAACATGTCAACAGAGATGCACGAGTAGGAGCCTGCAGTTAATTAGAGTCAGCGTCGAGGTGGATTCAGTGGTCTCAGGGTCATTGGCATGTATCCTTCATGTCTCTTACTGGTCTCTCAGGCACTGAGTCTCCAGAACCCAAATTAAGAAGTCAACAACAAACTAGGGAATTCTATTATGGGGGGTTGTCGATCAGGGTGAGTGATGTGCGCGTAAATTTGAAAATAGTTGTCCGATTTGACAACGCAATGCCTCGTTTTTTGCAGTGAAGGACAAAAATATACCTTGCAATGACGTAAAACAACGTAATTCATTGTGTTAGTCACTTCTCTTCATTGACACCTCACAATTAGATTTGGCACAAGTCATATGTTACATAACTTACTACGAAAAACGAAATATCGGGGAAAGCGAGAACCCCGTCCACCCTCAAATCGGCAAAAAGGGGTTACCTTGCCGCTAGCACGGTATTTACGTACTCGCACTTAGGCCCTCTCCCCATGCATCTCTGTTGACATGTTGTTGACAGAGCTAGAGTCAGCCTTGAGTGGTCCACGGTCATTGTGTTTATCCTTGAATCTGCGTGAGCATGAGTTAGGAGTTTGTTGAATCTCAAAATGACCTAGTGTTTTCTGCATGTAGCGAGATGGCCAATAGATAGTACTTAACATTATCAAATTGGAGAAGGCATGGGGAATGTTGGGGCCGTACCAGACTCAAAACTGTTGTCTTTCCCCAAATCCCCCTTCGAGTTGCCTACTTACATGCAGACTGGTACCAACTTTCAACTAGAGAAGGTACCTGCACGGGTCATGGGCAGCCTGCCCACCAATAAACGAGGGGCATGTTGGTGGAATTATTTGTGCTCAGCTGGTGTGTACGTAAATTTGCAAATAGTGGTCCAATCTGATAATGCCTCCTACTCCATACAAAGAACACTGGCAAAGTTCTGGCTAGCACAGCTTTTCCCCGATATTTCGTTTTTCGTTATAATGGGAAAACTAGCAGTTGTTGAGATTGAGGCTGGTCGTGTGCAAGCATTTTGGATATTTCCCACGGTGAGCTGCATTCGGGCAACCAACAAAAGACTATTTGACAAATGCTTATTTTGTCGTTAGCATACTTAGGGCATCAATGCACCTACCCAGGTCCATTGGGCGTGAGAATTTAGGCCCCAAAATTGCCCTTCTCACTCTTCCCCTCATTTCCTCTTCGCTCTCATTCATATCTACATGCAGAGACTTATTTGAAGCGAGTATATCCATTTGTTGAGGAGCAGTGCTCTGGCAGTGCGTGCATTGAGTGGTAATTACCAAACCGGACAATGCCGTTGGTACTACTCCAGGCCGGTTCGAATGCCATATCGATCTAGCCTCGGTCCCAGGCCATCTGGTTGTGGATTGAGACTAATATAGATCACCTAGGATGGTGCTAGTCGATCACTTATCTCACTTGAGGCATTCATTGCAGCGAAAATTGAAATACCCTTCCCAGCATCTTCTGATGGTGAGGGGAGCATTGCTGCGGTTCCTGAGTTCGCTTTTCGCTCTAAAGTGTCAAGTTCATAAGGGATAAAAGCCAGCTGAGAGTATGATTAGTCTGTCCCCCCCCAAACTATGGAAGACGAAAGCGGTTAGCCTCTGTTCCTTTGCTAAAGCATTGTACCGTTGATCTATTTCCGTAGCCGACATCTACCTACAAACGCTTACACAGGCTGATTCTGGGAGAGGTGAGCATGATAAACTCACCACCGCTATACCTCCATTCACCTGTCGCCGAGATAGCTGATGTGGAAAAGGCTGAGAGCGACCTCCACCCATCTCAGAAAGGCATACTACACGAGAACAGCCCTGAAACATTGGAGCTACCCAAGTCCCATTGGTGGAGAAAAACTCTTCCATTGGGCCTCGTCTTCATTGCTATTGCTGTCGGATCGGAAGTTGTCTTAGACCACACCCGCAACGGAACAGGTAGAAACTACCTACTCTGGTGTATGAATAGTCAGGCTCATTCATCCTCGCTAGGATTTGGCATCAATCTCAGCGACGCCGGAATCTCTCGCGTTAAACAGTTCTGGAAGGTATGGCTTTCCTACTTCATGACCGTATCCGTGGCGACTGAAAAGGGGTTCCTCAGTCATTTGGGCCATCTATTCTTTTTGGTCCATTGTTCCATTGGTTCACAGCGCCCTATGTTATCACGCTGCTCAAAGTACACCTAATCACTCCTCGTTGTTCAATAATGCTAATGTGCACTATGATAGCCCTTCGAAACGAACAGGTACGATTCTAAATTCAATGTGCCTATTCTTTGTTCGCAGTTCATACTTGTTCTCGTGGTCCAATTTGGGCTGTCTTTCTAATTTTAGGATGCGCCATTGGGCGGTCTTCATGTTCTCCCGCATCGCGATCAGCGGTAGCCTTTTCCATTCCCTGGCTGGAGCATATTTCGAGATTGTTTCGGTGCCCCAGCAGCGGGACGTGAGCGTGCGTATCGCAGGTCATACGGGCCTGGGCTATGATGATGTCGGATTCACCCCGTTCGTGGATGCTGCAGGGGTGCGTGATTCTGTTGTGTACCTTCACCAATGACAACTGATCCTACGTTCCAGTTTGTGGGCACCGCTAGTTAGTCAAGGTCATACGGAGTTCGTCAACAGGTACTGAGTTATCTCTCTAGGCCGGATCGGTGCTCTGTATTCTCCATTTATTTTTAATGACACCACTAGCAAGACTAGGAACATCTGGGTGGTGCCGGACTCTGCTGCTGTGGGTATTCGTTATCGGCTCATCGCTATGCTGCCTTTGGTCATTGTTGCCTTCAGCTCGTTAATCCTGCCCAAGATGGGGACGTGAAGCTCACATTCAGGGGATTGTCGGTGCAAGCCAGATGTGCCCCGGTTCCATCACCAGTGATATCGGGTCCGGACACTGCCAACTTGTACAACATAACGGGGACTCTTTCCCATAACTGCTCCGCCACATCCTATGTCATCACCAATGGCACAACATGGGACGGCTGGATGGTCTCCGCCCCTTTTGGATGTGTGCGAAGCATCGACCCTCGTAACAACTACTCACTCCCTAGTGACCCGTGGTTTTCCCCGTGGCGTTCTCTTTCCTCAAAAACATATCGAGCTACTCAATGGTCTTCTGCTACAGCCTGATAGAGGAGCACGATCTCACCGCCACACTTACACTCAATCATGACACCCCATTCATTTCCGATGTCGTGGATCGAGGTAACGTCTCATTCCTCAGTTGGGGTCCCAGCGGGTAAGGCGTTCGAGCAAGCGTATTCGCACTCATACTGACATGCAGTTCCAGGATAGACTGGCCAAGTAGTGATCCCCGGGTGGAAGGCATCGGAGACGCGATCCGCTTTGCCTTGGCTGGTTCCATCATGAACTTTGCAGGTTTCTTTGATGTTGGGGTTGAAGACCCATCACTACAGGACAGCACTCTCGGGGACGCAAACTCCGTGGTTGGACTTGCCGAGGACGCCGTTGTAAGTGATGCGAAATGTCCGATGTCTACTTTCTCCAATGTCTTTATTGCAGAGATTATTTCAAGCAACCCTCGCCCCTTCCACGCTTATCGTTGGACCACCGTATTCCAGAAATACCAAGCTAGAGGTGCAGGCAAACGCCCTGAAGGCCATGTACGTGTTCGTTTCATGTATCTTATCACCTGCAATGCCTCACCCTTTGGAACCTTAGCCCTCCTGTGGCACATGTGATAACTTTCCTGTGCGCTATCGTAGGATCCATTCTTATCGCGTTTGTCATACATCATTTCTGGCGGCGCAAGGAATTATCGACCAATGCTGCACCTTCAGCGACTACGACGACGGCTCCAGCGTCGGCTTCATAAATCGAAGCTCCTAACTACAAGGTTGTTGGGATGTTGATGCTTCAACTTGCTGGTAGAGATATGTAGCAAGCGTGGAGTTAATTGCCCTGGTAACCTCACATCCCCAGCTACGGAACATATCCGAATGGACTTTTTCCCCTTAGTCGCGTGTATTACCTTGCTTGTAAGGTCTGCCTGGAATTTTTTGCTCCTGAAATTGTTTCCTGCTTTTCTGTCAGCTACAGTCATGTCGTGATGCCGAAATGCGAAGATGCAGCACATCGTTGCGGAATATGAATGTCTCTAAAGGAGCGAAGCGGCTTCGATATAAATAAATGTCATTCATGATCTGTTCGACGATATAATCCATGAATAATTTCCCTTCACGTCTCAGACAGACCTTGGCTGAAATATGTGAAGCCTCGGGAGGAGCAAATGGGAGTTTGCTCACTGTCAGAAGTATTGGAATATCGACGATAATCATGGTGACCGTTTGGCAGCTGTTCGGCAATATGATCTGGCACTCATGGGCAGTAGCATGTGTGGTGAAAATCGATTGGAGAACCCTACCTTAGTCTTCTGCGTGTCTGGGGTTCAATGAATATGATATGCTCACCTCAAAATTCTGGGTATATACTTCGACACTGTAGACGAGAACGTTTATTATCAGTTATCGACGATCGATAGCAGGTCCATGGAATGGGAATTCAGGGGCTGACTCACGTCATGTACGTTCAATAATGGGGCTTGAGACCGTTCCTCTCCGCATCGTAAAATATCCTGACAAGTTGTGTCTGGCAATTTTCGTACTGTATTGCCAATCTGATCGCAGACTCTTTATTCGCTTTGATATCCTAGAGTACAAAGTCAACAATCAGAGCTCCGCCATTCGAACGAATGGTGCCTGAGCTTCGCCCATATCCATTCTTATGAGGATACGACGAGATGCTAACATCTGTAAGTGCCCATATGGCGCGGACAGATTCGAGGAGCGATGCACGCGCCGTTCCGAGAGCGAATTTAGTGGCCAAGAGACAGGAGCTGGTTTCACAATCGGAAGGGGGGGGTTCAAGCAAACCCTCGTAGAAATCATGCCGTTGCCTTTAGAAATAGATCTCACAGATGATATTCATGTCGCACTGGTCTTTGGCGCCTATTCCTAGGCCGATGCTAATTCAATTGGAAGCGACAAAGGCCGGTTGCGTAATTGGCTCCATACATCGGATGGTAATAGTCTCGCGCCTTTCTTAGGGCGCCGAGGCCGGACAGAACGCATCAAACACGCGGGAAATGCGCAGCAGCAAGTGTTCAGCAAGATGGACAAGCAATGGTTGATTGGATCCTAGAAATATGAGACAATGAGGCATGCCAGACGTGAGAGAGGACTTCGATAATGACGTCACCTTCCCAATGCATATGAATACAAGGGACGGGAGCCGCGAGATGGGAAATAGCCTCAGCATTCCCACTTCTCGACTTTGCACTGGTGAAAGTGGCGCCACTCGATGGGGCGCAAATGGCCAGACATGACAGCCTGAACGTGCGTTCGTGGCGACGCAAGCGTCTTCCTTTCCATTGCAGTCACCGATGTCCCTCGAGGGATTAGACCGCACTGTCACTCCCGCCAGCTTTTGATATCGGATTGATCGGCGATATTAACGACGGTCGGCAGGACTGGGGTATTCTGCTTGGTCCATCTCAAAGAGTCAGAGGGCCAACGTCACGAGCATTAGGGTAGTAGAAATCATTTCTGCGTCCAACTCTTGATCAATTTACATTTAAAAGAAACGTCATGTCAGGATGGGTTCAACGATGTTAGAGGTGGAGAATGCATAGATTGGAACTCATCACTTGAGTAGCTCTGCAAGTGCAAGTGTGAAGTATTTGATCAGGGGAACCGCTACCCGCACCATCTTGGACGGGGATATAAACAGTTTGGACGGGCGGGCATGCCAGAGCGCATGCCGAGGGGCAAGGCGGAAGCTTGGTTGTGACTGGTGTGGTTGTAACTGGCGTGGTTGTGGATGTGACTGACATTGGGGGATCCCAGGGTACCGATGGTTCCAGTGTGGGGTGGGAGCGGCTTATGAGCAAGAAAGAATCGAAAGACGTTACTTGACAAATCTTGCGCTTTTCGTATCGAATAGTCCAGTACCTGCTGGACAGGGAGGGAGCAGGCTGAGCAGTTCTCCACTGGACTGCATTGATAAACCAAAGTTATCAAAGTGTTTGCGCACGAGCGAGAGCAGGGGCCTACCATAAGTCTTTCCTGGGTGGATAGTAGAACTCGTAATTGGTGTTGCCCCAGGGAAGGCAATAGGGCCACTAAAAAGCTAAATGAATTTATTGGGGTGAGTGCTAATGTCATGTAAATATGACTCTGAAGTACCGTACTCTAGTCGGGTGGTAACTATCACTGTAGGTGGCACCAGTGACAGTACGCGTGTATAAAGCAACACCGCTGAGCTAGGCAGGGCTCATATTCCGTGTGTTGCTCGTGATGAATTAGAGTCACTTGAAAGCCTTGAACTGGGGTCTGAGAGAACGTCATCTCCACGAGGGCGGCAAGGAGGAGAGCGCTCATGAGAATCGCGCCGCAAGTGCGATCGAACTCCCCACTTGTGTACTGAAGGAAGGAAGCCCTCTTTCAATCCACGGGTGGCGGAGCCACCGACTTTTACTAGTAATGCACCATGGGCACTTTTACCATATATAAAGTGGCTCTTCTCCGTCAAAAGCTCCTCATCACTCATCCCGAGTTGTGAATTCCTCGGTTGCAGCGAACATCGCGTGGGTCCACTGCGGGATTGGACTATGCGGATCTTCCGATCTACTAGTAACTTGCGCTTTGTTGGGTCACAGCAGTGGTGGTACGTCGATAATGTAAAAATACTAATGCTCTGCGCTTGGCACCGGATTTTGAGCCAAATCAGCCAGGCCCAATAATCATTGATGCTAGCACGTCGTGGGTTCGAGCACTGGGTCCTCATAAGATGAAACCTTACCCCTTCAACCATTAAACTGAGGGAGTATATGTCTCGTTTAGGTCTCCACCATGAGCACCTGCTTCAGGTTGGGGGGATTAACAGGATTCACGCAGTTGCGGGGTCCTGCCCGCATCAGCGTCAACCATTATAATCCATCCAAGCAACCAAGCATGTTAATTAAAGGTGACATACCATGAACAGTGCGCCACTGATCATCTCCCTCTACGTGATATTCACCACCTCTGTTAGTGTAAACTGGTTTCACTTGTTGTCCAGCCTGACGGCAACGATGATGCATTGACCTCCTTGTCAATGATGCCGGCTCTCAATGAAAAGGAGATCTCCCATGGCAGGGAGAGTCATAAATGCAGTAGAACCAAAGTTAGAACCAACGTAGACATCAAAAGTGACGGATCTAAGATACAAAAACAAAAACAAAATCCATTTGCTGTAACTATTGTTAGTGTCTGTGGTTGTTCAATCACAGCAAATGTACCTTATGGAAGGAATCCCGGGAAAGAACCACCCAGGATTGTTTTCTGTGACATCGCCGGCGACAATGTTCCGGGAAACCTGGACGTCGACTCCGCGGAGCTTAATGTGCGTGCTGTGGCAGTCAGTATAGCTGATATCGCTTGAAGATGACCTCGCCAGGGTCGAAACCAGTTTTCGTATCTTGGAGGTTGTTCGACATGGGGTTAGAGTCTCTGTACTGAGCTATGAACTCAGACACTGGAGTAGATAGTGCTCAGTTTCTGGTAACGACTCGAGCGATCTGATCTGCGACTATGGAAGTAGAGTTCCGTATTACATGATGTAGAACCACGTGCACTACCAACCACAGAGTCTTCGTGGTGCAGAATCTCATGTTCAGGTACATTAAATTTTTGTCCTTGTGCGATTACGGTGAGAACGACGCTTCTCCTATTTTTATATACTATGTAATTATCGATCACTGTCATTGCAGCAAAAAAATGAAATGCCCTTTGTTCCGAGCCGAACTGAATTGGCTGGAGCCGGAAATGCAATCATCCTTCAAACTGTCACAGAGTATGAGCCAACCTGTTATCGCGTTTGCAATTTTAAGACCTTCGGTTCCGCTTGGAAACCCCTTGATATCGGCTGCCTCCACGTGTGGGATATGTAATTATTAACGTCCTTCTCCTTTTAGCTGAACGGGGTTCCTGTTCTCTAAAGTGTCAAGTTCATAAAGAAAACGAAGGCGGTTAGTGTTTGTTTCTTTGCTAAAGCGTTGACCCGTTGATCTATTTCCGTAGCAACCAATTTTAAGGGACAGAATGATCTATCAACTCCAACAAAGTCCGACATCTACGTACAAACGCCACCTCATACTAGTAGCTGAGCATGATAAACTCACCACCACTGCACCTCCATTCACCCGTCGTCTAGGATATCCTGGAGAGCACGCTGATATGGAAAAGGCTCAGATTGATGAGTGCGGCCTCCGCCCATCTCAGAAAGGCATACACGAGGACTACCCTGAAGCATCGGAGCCCCCCATGTTGCATTGGTGGAGAGCAATTCCATTGGGCCTCGTCTTCATTGCTATCGCTGTCAGATCGGGGGTTGTATTAGAGCAAACGCGCCGCGGATTAGGTAGAAATCACCGACTCTGGTATATGAACACCCAGGCTCATTGATCCTCCCCAGGATTTGATATCAATCTCATTGACACTCAACTCTCTCGCGTTAGACAGTTTTTGAAGGTATGGCTTTCCTACTCTATGACCGTATGCGTGGCCACTGAAAAGGGGTTTCCTCAGTCATTTGGGCCATCTATTCTTTTCACTCCATTATTCCTCTGGTTCACAGCGTCCTATGGCACTATCAAGCTGCTCAAAGTACCCCTACGCTGATGTACACTACGATAGCCCTACATTGGCGCTGAGAAAGATAGGGTCGAGTACGAAAAGAAAAGGTATGATTCTAAATTCATTGTGCCTGTTATTTGTTCGCAGTTCTCGTAGTCCAGGTGGGGCTGTTTTTCTGAGTTTCAGGGACCGCCATTGGGCGGTCTTCATACTATCCTGCATCGCGATCAGCGGTGGTATTTTCCATTCCCTGGCTGGAGCATTTTTCCAGATTGTGCCGACGTCCCAGAAGCAGGAAGCGAGAGTGCGTATCGCAGGTAAAACGGATCTGGGCTATGATAATGTCGGATTCACCCCATTCGTGGATGCTGCAGGGGTGCGTGACTCTGTGGTGTACCATTCACTGATCCTACGTTCCAGTTTGTGGGCGCCGTTAGTTAGTCAAGATCATAAGGGGTTCGTCAACAGGCACTGAGTTATCTCTCTAGGCCGGATCGGCGCTTTGTATTCTCCATTTATTCTTAATGACACCACTAGCAAGACTGGGAACACCTGGGTGGTGCCGAGCTTTACTGTGGGTATTCGTTATCGGCTTATCGTTGTGCTGCCTTTGATCATTGTTGCCTTCAGCTCGCTGATCCAGGTGCAGCTGACCAAGGTGGGGAGGTCAACCTCACATTCAGGGGATTGTCGGTGCAAGCCAGATGTGCCCCGGTTCCATCACCAGTAATATCGGGTCCGGACACCCCCGACTCGTACAACATGACGGGGACTCTTTCCCATAACTGCTCCGCCACGTCCAATGTCATCTCCAATGGCACAGTATCGACTCTGGTAACAACTACCCAGTCCCAAGTGACCCGTTATTTTTCTCTCCCGTGGCATTCTCCTTCAAAAACATATCGAGCTACTCGATGGTCTTCTGCTACAGCATGATAGAGGAGCACGATCTCACCGTTAAACTCGTGCTCAGCTATGACGGCCCATTCATTTCCGATGTCGCGGATCGAGGTAACGTCTCATTCCTCAGTTGGGGTCCCAGCGGGTAAGGCGTTCCGAGCAAGCCTATTCGCACTCATACTGACATGCAGTTCCAGGACAGGCTGGACAAGTAGTGATCCCCGGGTGGAAGGCATCGGAGACGCGATCCGCTTTGCCTTGGCTGGTTCCATATCGTGAACTCTGCAGGTTTAGATGAGATTGGGGGTGAAATAGACACATCATTACAGGACAGCATTCTTAGGGACGCAAACTCCGTGGTTGGATATGCCGAGGAGGCCGTTGTAAGTGATCCGAAATGTACAGGGTCTATGTTCTCCAATGTTTCCATTACAGAGATTATTTCAAGCAACCCTCGCCCCTTCCACGTTTATCGTTGGGCCATCGTATCTAGGAAATGCCACACAGTACGTGGAGACATACAGCTTGGTTGCCATGTACGTGTTTCATGTGTCTTATCACCCGCAATGCCTCACGCTTTGGAACCTTAGCGCTCCTGTGGCACATGCAATAACTGTCATGTGCGCCATCGTCGGACTCGTTCTTGTCGTGCTCTCCATACGTCATTCCATGTGGTGGCGCAAGGAATTATGGGCCAATGCCGCACCTTCAGTGACCACGACAGTTCCAGCGCTGGCTGCATGAATCGAGGCTCCTACAAGGTTGTTGGGATGTTGATGCTTCAACTTGCTGGTAGAGATATGTGGCAAGCGTGCAGTTAATTGCCCTGGTAGCCTCACATCGGCAGCTACGGAATATATTCGAATGGATTTTTCCCCCCTAAGTATTACCTTGCCTGTAAGGTCTGCCTGAAATCTCTGCTCCTGAAATTCTTTATGCCTTTCTGTCAGCTACAGTCATGTCGTGATGCCGAAATGCGAACACATCGTTGCGGAATATGGGTGCTTCTAAAGGAGCGAAAGCGGCTTCAATATAGATATTCGAAAATAGATGTCATTCATGATCTGTTCGATGATATGATCCATGAACAATTCCCCTTCACGTCTCAGACGGACCTTGGCTGAAATATGTTAAGCCTCGGGAGGAGCAAATGGGAGTTTTGCTCGCTATGAGAAGTATTGGAATATCGATGATAATCATGGTGACCGTTTGGCGGCTGTTGGCCATATGGTCTGACACTTATGGGCAGTAGCATGTGTGCTGAAAACCAATTCTCCATCATGTAATACAAAACTCTGGCTCCATGGTTGAGAGAAGTTTTGGACGCGCTTTTTTTCTGTCAGCTCTCAGCAAATGCTAAGAGCTGTAATACTGGCGTAAAATACGGTCAGATAGACCGTATATAACCTCACCGGATGAGAAGAAGGGAGTAGGGGCTGTAAGTTTTATAAGCCATGAACATGGTGAAGCGCAGGCGCTTCCACAAGCCAGCTCTCAACCAAAGCTGGAGAGCTGTACTGCTGGTAATAAAACCAATAGAAAGATAGTCGTACAGACCATCTAAAACCTCTCATCATGAGCGGAAGAAGTAGGGGCCGCGAATTTTGCGAGCCCTGAAAATGATGGAGCTCACGCGCTTCCATGAGCTGGCGCTCAGCAGGGAAAAGCCCCTTCCCTGACGAAAACCAACGATGAGACGATTGTATAAACAGTCTCTACGCACTCCTAATGACTGGGAGTGGGGGGTGGAAGGACAGGGGCAGTTTATTCAACTAGCCCTGAAATCGACGAAGCGCGACGCGCTTCCGCGAACTGGCACTCAGCAGAGGCTGAGCCGCCCTCATTCCGGTATAAATCCGGTGAGGAGAGGATCGTTGGAACCATCTGAATGAGTGGGAAGGGGAAGGAGTGGACTAAGTGATCCGCGCGAGTTTCATCGCGCGAGTTTTTCGCGGTCGCTAAGGGCCGCGGAATTGTGTGTAAACCGCGGCCTCCAGCGGTTATTATAGGGGTCTCAAGGCTGTTGCTGTTTTCGTGGCCTTGAACAATGGGAAGCCCGACATAGTCGGGTGCGGGAGGATCTGGCGCGTGGGACGCGTCAGCGAGTGGTGAAGCTCCTCAGTAGAGGCCGAGAAGCTTCTAAGAATGGGGCTTCTAGTCCATAGCAGTGAAAGGGGCGCGGCCTCCCCATTCCGACGGAGAGAAGATCTTTACTTGATCCTCTCCTGATAATCGCGGTCTCCCTTCAGGTATGAAGGGAGTCGATCGGCTATATCAGCTGATCGCAGATAGTGCAGCCCAGTATGTCTACTGGGCTGAAGAAGGATTGTGCTTGCCGGGGTGGCAAGCGCAGAGTTCTCAACGAACACACACTCCCCCTGGGGCTATGGAGGTGGGAATTTGGCGGGTGGGGGGAGCATGAGGTTGGGTCTGGGACGGATCCGAGCCCGGGGAAGACGGTAGGAGCCCGTGAAGGTTCGGAGATCGTGGTCCGTGAGCTGGCAGTCCGCAGGCGCCGGGCTGTCACCAACCTGGCATAGGCCAGTTGAGGTTGAGAGACAGTCGCTGGGACTGTTTCTGGTTTCTCTAATAAAACCCATTTGCTGCATGAAGGCATACTAGTGAAGATCAAGAACTCTTGTAGTTGTGGCTGCACAGAGGCGCCATTCAAATCGAAATGTCGGTATTACATAATGTAGAACCGCTTTCCGGCAAGTACCAACCGCAACTGCTAGACCAATGGCCAGACTCAGATGAGTTTCGTGGTGAAGAATCTCATGTTCAAAAGAAGCGAAGGAGTTGATGAATGCAGATCAGAAGACCTGCATGCTGACCCAGAGAGAATTGAAAGACTAAGCGCTCATAGATGCACGATATTGGGACGATCCAGGGGCGAGATGACACGTACTACCAGCTGCAGCTGTCAGATCAATGGTCAGAGTCAGCCGAGTCTTGTGGTGAAGAATCTATTGTTCAGAGGAAGCGAAAGAGTTGACGAATGCTGATCGGGAGACGTGCGTGCTGACCCAGAAGAAATTGAAATGTTAGGGGCTCATAGGCGTGCGATATTACATAAGACGATCCAGCGGAGAGGAGAACGATATCTCCGACGGTCCATTTGAAGAAGAAGACGTGCTACGCATTGATTACAAACGGACTCACGGAATGATCCAAACCACTTAGGATTTCAAATTGGCAAATCTTGTTCTATACCACCAAGAAGAGCAGAGACCTTGCAGACTGTTGGCATGAGGTTGTAGTATGAGATGAATGTCGATGACTTTCGCACTTCTCCACCTGACATAAAAGAGATAGAATAGAGTGCTAGTACTTATCCCTGACACGCCAAAATTGCGGCAGAATCTCCACATCGTTTGTTACTATTTTCCAGTGCAGGGGACGCACGTCCTTATGCGCTATTTCTTCACTCTCCTCCATACTCGATGTCTCATCCACCCATTGACACTTAACTCCTCTCCATCCACTGGCTCCTTTCCAAACATTTTTCGCATCATTATGGTACGGCATATGCCAATAAGCACGTCCATTACACGCCAGAATTGGTGAGCATGATACGACGTCCATCCACGCAAACGGTTGTCTCAATTAAGAAGGAAGCATCAGCGGTACTCGGTTTCTTCTCACCAGAAGCGCTCAGCTAGCAGCACCTTCAACGACGATGCTATCACAGGAAACCCTGCTACCTGCTCCTGTGCCGGCGAGAATATTCTGCAAAGAACTCAAAGCCAATCTGATAGCCCACTATTGGAGGATAGACCCTGGAAGCAACAGTACAGTAGAAAGCAGAGGGTTGAGGCGGGCGTACCGGTGGCTCCAAGATGAGGCTGGAGGTCTTCTCCCTCATTCAAACACAGTCACCTTCGTGGACACTGCGAAAAATGAAATTTCCGGGAAGGTTGTGAACCCTGACCGCACTCAGATTGACAAAAAGGAGTCCCCTTGCGCTAGCGCAGTATCTACATACTCCCAAGCAATGAGGAAAGCGCAGCCTTTCCTGTCAATAACATGCTAACAGAGATGCATGAGGAGTAGGAGCCTGTTAATTAGAGTCAGCGTTGAGGTCGATTCAGGGTCATTGCATGTGTCCATCATGTTTCTTACTGATCTCTCAGGCACTTGAGTCTCCAGAATCCAGATCGAGAAGTCAGCTAGAGAATTCATTCATGGGGGTTTGCGTTCAACTTGGGTTGTCAGGGCGAGTTGATGTGTGCGCATATTTACAAATAGTTGTCCGATCTAACAATGGCAATGCCTCCTAATCTATAAGAACAATGCTAGCAGGGTTCGAACTTCTTGCTCGCACAACTTTAAGTAATTCGTTATTTCATAGTAAAGGACAAAATTTTACCCGTAAAACAACGTAATTCATTGTGTTGCTGTCAATGTCAATATTACAACTTCCACTTAAGTAATATTGGCACACAAGTCATTACAAGATGGCATGTTACAAAATAAGAGGCCCATCCGCCTAGTAGTTGTTGAGATCGGTGCACAGACATTATGGGTATTCTCCCACGGTGAGCTGTCCAACAAGAAATTATTTTATTTTGTCGTTAGCATACTTGGAGCGTCAGTGCACCCAGGTCCATTGGTAGATTCATTATCATGGTATTGAAGGCATTGTTGCATTGAGTGGGCGTGAGAATTTGGGCTCAAAAATCGCCCTTCCCCCTCATTTCTGCTTTGCTTCTCGTTCTTCTTTGGCGAAAATGTTGATATTTACACGCACGAACTCATTCGAAGTGAATTATATCCACTTGTCAAGGAGCAGTGCCTATGGGAAGCGCTGGCAAAGCAAGAAGTTAGTGTGCATTGAGGGCGGTTGCGAGCCTGGTTGAATGTGGGTGGTGGTGTCATTCCACATGTGTCCCAATCAAACCGGACAACTTGAATGCTGGCCGCCGGTACCGCCGCAGACCCTTCACGGCATCTTCTAATGGCTAGGGGAGCATTACTACGGGCGCATCTTTCCCCTTTGATTGCTGAGATAAGGCGAACGGGGTTCCTGGGTTCAACCATTGCTCCATTTTTCTCTCTAAAGTGTTAAGTTCATAAAGGATAAAAGCCAACTGAGAGAGTGATTGGGTCTTGCCACCCCCCCGGACTGATGGCAGATCAAAGCGGTCGGTATCTGTTTCTTTTCTAAAGCGTTGTATCGTTGATCTATTTCCGTAGCCGACATCTACCTACAAATGCCAGTGCTTACACCTGATGATACCGGTAGTGGTGAGTATGATAAACTCGCCACTCCTGCACCTCCATTTACCCGTCGTCTAGGATATCCTGCCAAGATAACTGACGTGGTTGTCGAGACAACTGATGTGGAAAAGGCTCAGATTGATGAGAGCGACCTCCACCCATCTCAGAAAGGCAAATACAAGGACCACCCTGAAGCATTGGAGCTACCCAAGTCCCATCCGTGGAGTAAAACTTTTCCGTTGGGCCTAGCCTTCATTGCTATCGCTGTCGGATCGGAAGTTCTATTAAACCACACCCACAATGGAATAGGTAGAAACTACCGACTCTGGTGTATGAACAGTCAGGCTCATTCATCCTCGCTAGGATTTGGGGTGGATCTCAGCCGCACCGGACTCTCTCGCGTTAAACAGTTCTGGAAGGTATGGCATTCCTACTCCATGACCGTATACGTGGCGACTGAAAAGGGGTTCCTCAGTCATTTGGGCCGTCTATTCTTTTCGGTCCATTATTCTACTGGTTCACAGGGCCCTATGTTATCGCGCTGCTCAAAGTGCGCCTAATCACTCCTAGTTGCTCAATGATGCTAATGTGCACTATGATAGCCCTTCGAAACGAACAGGTATGATTCTAAATTCGATGTGCCTATTCTTTGTTCGCAGTTCATACTTGTTCTCGTGGTCCAATTTGGGCTGTCTTTCTAATTTTAGGATGCACCATTGGGCGGTCTTCATACTCTCCCGCATCGCGATCAGCGGTAGCATTTTCCATGCCTTGGCTGGAGCATATTTCGAGATTGTTTCGGTGTCCCTGCCGCAGGAAGTGCAAGTGCGTATCGCAGGTAAACCGGGCCTGGGCTATGATAATGTTGGGGTCACCCCGTTCGTGGATGCTGCAGGGGTGCGTGATTCTGTTGTATACCTTCACCAATGACAGCTGATCCTATGTCCCAGTTTGTAGGCGCCGTTAGTTAGTCAAGATCATAAGGAGTTCGTCAACAGGTACTGAGTTATCTCTCTAGGCCGGATCGGTGGTCTGTATTCTCCATTTTTTTTGAATGACACCAATGGAAACTTCTGGGTGGTGCCGGACTCTGCTGCTGTGGGTATTCGTTATTGGCTCATCGCTATGCTGCCTTTGATCATTGTTGCCTTCAGCTCGTTGATCCTTCAGATGGGGACGTGAAGCTCCCATTCAGGGGGTTGTTGGTGCAAGCCAGATGTGCCCCGGTTCCGTCACCAGTGATATCGGGTCCGGACACCGCCAACAGGTACAACATAACGGGGACTCTTTCCCATAACTGCTCCGCAACCTCCAATGTCATCACCAATGGCACAATATGGGACGGCTGGATGGTCCCCGCCCCTTTGGGATGTGTGCGAAGCATCGGCTCTGGTAACAACTACTCAGACCCTAGTGACCCGCGGTTTTCTCCCGTGGCGTTCTCTTTCCTCAAAAACACATCGAGCTACTCGATGGTCTTCTGCTACAGCATGATAGAGGAGCACGATCTCACCGCCACACTTACACTCAATTATGACACCCCATTCATTTCCGATGTCGTGGATCGAGGTAACGTCTCATTCCTCAGTTGGGGTCCCAGTGGGTAAGGCGTTCGAGCAAGCATATTCGCACTCATACTGACATGCAGTTCCAGGATAGGCTGGCCAAGTAATGATCCACGGGTGGAAGGCTCCGGAGACGCGATTCGCCTTGCCTTGGCTGGTTCGATCATGAACCTTGCGGGTTTATACAAGATTGGGGTTGAAATAATATCACTACAGGGGACGCAAACTACGTGGCTGGACTTGCCGAGGAGGCCGTTGTAAGTGATGTGAAATATACAATGTCTACTTTCTCCAATGTCTTCATTACAGAAAATATTTCAAGCAACCCTCGCCCCTTCCGCATTTATCGTTGGGCCACCGTATTTCAGAATTGCCGCACAGGAGGTGCAGGCAAACGGCCTGAAGGCCATGTACATGTTCGTTTCATGTATCTTATCACGTGCAACGCCTCACGCTTTGGAACCTTAGCCCTCCTGTGGCACATCTGATAACTGTCCTGTGCGCTATCATAGGGTCCATTCTTATCGCGCTTGTCATACATCATTTCTGGTGGCGCAAGGAATCATTGACCAATGCCGCACCTTCAGCGACTACGATGGCTCCAGCACCGGCTTCATGAATCGAAGCTCCTAGCCAGTTGGGATGTTGATGTTCCAACTTGCTGGCTAGAGATATGCAGCTGGTGACCTCGCAATCGGCGGCTACGGAACATATGGATTTTCACCTAAGTACTCGATTTTATTACCTTGCTTGCAAGGTAATATCTTTTCTACATGCTCCTACAATTGTTCCTGCTTTTCTGTCAGCTACAGTCATGTCATGATGTCAAAATGTGAAGATGCAGCACATCGTTGCGGCATTTGGATGCCATACTCGGCTCTAAAGATGTCCTTGGTGGTTGTACTTCCCAAGGTACCGAGTGGTGTCCTCAATTCAGTAATCTCAGTGCAACTGTCTTCACGCTGCAACACCTTGAGCTAGCCAGTTCTGCATAAAGACAAGCTTGCAGGACCAGATTGATAGGCAATGTAGAGTCAGCCAAGGGCCGTGAACGAGAAAGGAATGGGGAAAGGCTAAATAATTACACTCGGAGATACAGGCCAGATACAACGCTGAGGAGTACTGGCGACGCGAAATGATTATGACAAGAATAGCCGATCAAGCAGAGTTCGCAATCTTAGTAAGGAGGGGGCTACTGTGAAGCAGGCGCCAAAAACGACAGTTTCGCGTCCCAGATACCTGAGGTGTTGTACATGGCGTTGCGGATAAGGCAACCCGGTTCCCAGCGGCTCACTCGTGGCACAGATGTAAGATAAAAGCGGGAATATAACTAGTGATTTGGGGATAATGTCCGTGCGTATATACCTTGCTTGCAAGGTCACTTTCCGGGTCCACAATTCGTGAGAATCTTCACTTTCCCATGCCACCGTTCTGTGATCCCATTGGCTACTGCTGTTGTCTCGCGATCACCTCACGTGTTTGTAAATGCAGAGTTGTCCGATTCCTATGTGAGCCCAGCCTTGGCCAGCATGCTAGAGACAACGATCGATCATGATGACCCAGTCTTGCTACTGGGATCCGCAACGGGTGTAGGATGTGGACTTGCTGTTTTCGATGACACTCCCAACCGACTGTTATCATTCGTAAAAGTTGAATCATATCATGGCCAGAGCTCCATCATGATGCTACATAAGTGTTAAATGGCATTAACCCTCCTGTTGGTGGAGGTGCTAGATCGATGATGGTCTGTCAGATTGTTTGGCCTTGGGCTTGATAATCTGTGAAACCATATGCCCCTGGTTGTCGACGCTTCACTGTCTTCGATTTCCCATCCTTCATTCTTATCCGGTACATCCATTCTTTTGGGAACATTGGTAAGACTCCTTGTCCTAAATTCCCCACTCTCTTTTTGCTTGCATGGTCTAGCCTGACTAGCTACAAGCTAACACCCTTCAACAAGGTTTGTTATTTCCATGTATAAATACTGGAAGTTTTCACCATTTCTATTACATTTCTTCCCTTTCTCTGAAAGGCAAAGTGACACTCTGTGATCCAACACTGAAGGGATCTGATCTGAGAAGCCCATCTTTACCTTCTTAATATTTTGGGGACCCTCTAACTAAGTGGCTCAGAATTTGAAGATACTAGATCCACACCTCCAATGGGTTATGATGGTGGACAAAGTCCATGTTCCTTGCACACTTGAAGGTTATACAGACGCAAGGGTAGCAACAGTGATATTTGAGTCCAAATCACGGAAAAGTTGTCCAAGTGTTATACACAAAGATGGCTATCTTGGGCTGGAATTTGGACTTGAAAGTTGGCCAGTTTCACAAGAAAACATACTTATTCAAGACTGTATGGTAGCATCCAAAAAATATCAAATCAAACTTTTGTGATGTTATTGTGAAGGATCCAATGTGGTCATTCCATCTTCCGAATACGAGTTTGCTCTTCCTGGTGCAACTGTTCAAGTGTCGTTCACTACTATCTGCCATGTCATCGGATCAAAAGAGGGCAAATGTGCAATGTTTCTGGCCAAGATCAATGCAATGATCATTTTGAGGAAACTGGAAAGATTGACGATGAAGGACTGAGGATAGAATGGTTCTCCCTCTAAGCACGCATTTCGTGGTCCTTCTTTCTCACCCACTAAACATCAATGCCTATAGGTTTTTGACTGTGATGTGATACTCATGTAAAATATCCTCTCCAAATTTATAATAGGGACGTTCACGGCTGGAAAACTCTGCCAAAACTATGCCAAAACTCGAACTCACAAGTGGCTCAAAAGTCAGGTGTGTTTTGAAAAGTGTGCCACAAGATGGTGAAAACCACAACTGTCTCTTTTCACAACTTGGTTTAAAGTGTCTTAATTCCGTCCTGTATTCATCTGTTTGTCTCAGATGTAACTGTACAGTCCCTCTTTTCCTATTCAACACTCCCACTCAGGCTGCCTCAGTGTCACGACCCAACATATCCGTCACTTCTGTCTACATGTCCTAGTGCCACTTGGCCCATCCCTCCCGCTATCATCATCATCCGTCCATCCATCCGTCCACCCGTCACCCTCATCTGCACTTCCTCCCCCATGCGTGTACCTTCCAACCTAGGTTGCCCGCTTCGTTGTTGTCCGCCCACCAGCCGGACAGCTTGCTAGATGGCTGGATGGCCTTTTCTCTTTTGTCCACTTGCGGACTATTGTTCCTCCTTTTGTTCCTTGCTTGCCTTTTGTTGACCAAGTTTGCCAATATTAACTATTTGTTTCTTTCTTCATTCATTAATATCACGCTTGATCCGCCACTCCTTCCGGGCCGGTCCTATTTAGTTACTTGCATTTATAATGCATGTAGGTTACACCGGATGTACCTCAGTTCGTATATCGACTTGGATTCCCCCTCTAGACTCCTCTCCTCATTGTAAGGCTTCTGTCTGAAATTGGGACACCAACGTAAGAACGAAGTGCAGCACTCCACCTGAGTCGCTGAAGCTAAAGTCCCGCCCCTCTGACCTTACGAGCCTGGACGACTTCGCGCGCCTTGCGGGTCACCTGGATACACGTCTGACACGTTCCTGACACTCAGTCACACCAGCAACATCATTGCCTACTACACTCATTACTATAACTAATTACAGCACTGTACGCTCATTTCCTTTGTGACCAACTACAGGACCAAAGGGGCCTGCTGCTGCGGATCCAGAACTCGTGCCACTTCCAAAGCGCCCAAGTCGTTCATCAAAGCTACCAAGCTGAACCACCCCAGCCCATCATGTTCAGTGGCTTAAGAATCCCTGTCATCTGGTATCATGCCTGCTTAAGAATCCAAACATGTAGTTGAAACCATGCAGCGACTCTATTCAAGCTGCATCAGCAAAAGTCCGTTATGCTCTGGAGCATCAGGAGTGGCTGGAGCATGTGGGAGACAAAACAGCAGATTGGGCACTCCTGGAGCCAATAGTGTTCTCCTGGGAGGGGGTTCAGGAGCGGCTGGGAGTGGTGAGGAGTATGCAATGTGCCAGGAGCAGTGGGAGGAAAATTTTGGTCTCTAAAAAGTTGAAAAAAAAAAAATTAGGGAAAAAAATCAAAAAAAATTCAGGAACTATAGTGCCTTTAAAGTGCTTTCAGGACATATAATTATTTGCGAAATTGAGGAAGAAATGATGGAGAAAAATGGAAAATACTTTTGGAGACCCGAGAAGTAATGAGAACTGAATTGATGGGAAAGTCTGAAAATTGAATAGGAAAGTGAGGGGAAGCCTTGTAGCATTGTTATTTTCTGCTGTTGTGATTTTTCCTGATTGTTCTTGGTCTCACTCCCAGCTGCTCCTGGACCCTCCCAGGAGCTTTCAGGAGCTTCCAGGAGTATTGAGGAGCAGCTGGGAATGAGACCAAGAAGAATTGGGAAAAATCACAACAGCAGAAAATAACAATGCTACAAGGCTTCCCCTCACTTTCCTATTCAATTTTCAGACTTTCCCATCAATTCAGTTCTCATTATTTCTTGGGTCCCTGAAAGTATTTTCCATTAGCTGCTCCTGGACCCTCCCAGGAGCTTCCAGGAGTATCCAGGAGTATCCAGGAGCAGCTGGGAGTGAGACCAAGAAGAATCAGGAAAAATTAGAACAGCAGAAAATAACAATGCTACAAGGCTTCCCCTCACTTTCCTATTCAATTTTCAGACTTTCCCATCAATTCAGTTCTCATTATTTCTCAGGTCTCCGAAAGTATTTTCCATTTTTCTCCATCATTTCTTCCTCAATTTCGCAAATAATTATATATCCTGAAAGCACTTCAAAGGCACTACAGTTCCTGAATTTTTTTTGATTTTTTCCCTAATTATTTTTTCAACTTTTTAGAAGTCCCTATTTTTCAAATTTTCCTCATTTCCCTCTATATTCCCCCCTCATTCTCCCCCTCATTCTCCCCCTCATTTCCCCCTCATTCTCCCCCTCATTTCCCCCCTCATTTCCCCCCTCATTCTCCCCCATTTCCCCTTCCTCCATATTCTGCAAGTCCGAAAGTGATTAAGTTGCCAGATTAATCATATATCAGGCCATAAATTTTGACTGTGTATTGGTGAGTTTCAGTGTCCTTGATGTATAGTATAGTGTTTGACCTAAATGTTAAGTAGTGTCTTGTTGTGTTAGTCTTGTGGTAGGAGGTATTCATGGGGAGTCTTCCCTCTTTTTTTTCCTTTTCATTTTCAAATGCTCCAGGAGCTCCCAGAAGCTTCTCACCCCTATACATTTTGAAGCATTAAATTGTATTTACTGGATATGTTTGTGCACAAAGCAATGCTCCATGCCCTCCTGGGAGTGCCCTGGAGTACCTGACCAACTCCAGAGGAAATGAGCTGTTCCTGGACCGGCCAATCTCCTCCTGATTCTCCCAGTGCTCCCCATACTCCAGAGCACTCAGGAGCATAACAATTTTTTGCTGATGTGCAAGAACATCTTATTCTGTCCCAGGTGCCTAATGGTGAGAAAAGAGTGTGTGAATTCTATCTTGAACCAATACACTACAGTTATATACATGTGTAGTAGATAGGAAGTGCCAAACATGGCACATTGACCATGCATGATTTTTTTGCAGGCCCGGGACCTCAGCATGACTGGATTCGGAGTCAGCTAAGTAGTGTGAAGATGTAGCTTGAGTACCAGAAGCTTGGCTCGAAGTGGAAGTGCTGGAGGAACTGGAAGTAGAATCGGAGAGCTGCTGCTATCAGCCTAAGAGGTGTTGGGTCATTGTCAGACTCGGGGTTGCTGAGAGACAGGAGGTCAGGCTGGTCAGGTGTCTCTGCCCATAACAAGAGACGACGCTGCTAGTGGCTAGTCTGGAGGTGAGTAACATGCTTCAGTGCAGCCCGGATTAAGCGCTCGCTCGCGTTCATGGAGTGATGGCATGGAACTGTGCAGTCATTACATAATACATCTACATGGCTCCAAGGCTGGCGGACTTAAGGGGTGATTCACTGAACCTGTTGTGACAGTGTTTTGGACTTGTTGCTGTGAACACCCTTTCACCATGCTCAAAACTTACACAAAAGACTCTGAAAACTGTCACACATCGGTGGTGAGTTTTGGCACTCTTGTGACTTAGTTTTGGCTGAGTTGTGAGCGCCGTGAACATCCCTAATGAGCACTAGGCAGGTTCCCAGCCTCTACTAAAGTAGAAATGAGCACGACTCTTCCCTGAAATGTTGTAATCACGAGTCACGAGGACCGGACACAGCCAGTGTTTATGAGATGTCGGATACTGTCAATTAGTTAGGTAGTATTGTAAATACAACGATGGTGGACTTGCCTGAGATGTCGGATACCGTCGATTAGTTGGGTATCCGCATCTGCAGGCTTCGCCCTTAAATACATGCGTGAGTGGCAACAGTGATACACGAGAGACAAAAGGAAATGAACTACAAAGGTAACTGGACGCTTTGTGGTCCAGTACCAAGTTGCAGGAGCGCCCCGACGCCTCTCCCAAAGCTCAATTTGTCCGGTCCGAGCTCCTCCAATCCGGCTGTGACGTACCGGGTGGATTACCGCCCCTGACCGCCTGTGGCGTTGGACTGCTAACTTCAACAGTTTATGTGGAGGACTATGTGGAGGGAATTACTAATTCCGTAGTCGCACAGGAGTTACCTTAACAGGCCGCTCCGCAATAGATTTACATTGTATATAAATACGCACAGACGGGCGTTGACAAAAATCATCAGATTTTACCTTAGCTTACATCTGGTCTCACGAGTGTTACCGCTGAGGTAGCGGATTGCCTTATACGGAATTCCTACGTTACAAGAAAATCCCTGTTCCCTTTGCTGCCATGGGTTCAAGCAAGGTCGTGGCTGCGAAAGCGGCCCTTCTAGTATATACAAAGGAATGAATAAAGAGGGAAATCTACGTAGGGCAATTCTTGTGCGGACTGCGCGCTTAGTAAAATCCTCCACATGCGTCCCGGATATCTCCGGTGACTCGCATTTCCAACACGAGGACTATGTACAAAATCGGATGCCGCATACTCACTCTGTGCTGACCAGCCTGGACTGTACGCCAGTCGTAGGGAAAGCAGTACTGTCACGAAGTCACGGGTGCAAAAAACCCACCCTCGTGGACGCGGCGCGCGACGTGCAAAAAAAAAACGGTACTAGTACTTCAACCGATCTGTCCAATGCATCATCGCGCAGCGTATGAGAGGGGGGCCAGGCAATCTCTCCTCCCAATCCGAGTTCCAAATCCCCGCTTGGCTTGCCCATCATATGACATTCGCGGATCATCAACGATTAATTTTCATATCCGAGCTTATATAAGTAACCTTGTTTGCCTCGAAAGGAGGGAACTAGCCACTATGTTTTGAATATCCGGGGCCATCCACTTTCGAGGTCCGAGTTCAGCCCGGCTTCAATGACGGTTTGTATATGAAGAGAGGGCTCTCGCGGTCAGGCACTGGCTAGACCCATCCGTGTCGATCAGGATCGTTCGCTTCATGTCATGCATGAAAGGAAGGTTTCCATTACCCCTTTGAACAGAAAGCTACATAAGACCGTTGGGGTTAATGATAATATCTTTCCAGTCTTTTTCCTCCGGAGGGAAACGCTGAAACTGGGAGTAAGGTCAGCTCAGAAAACATGACTTTCCGGGATGAACCCATGATCCATGCATCCTTATGCCGGTGTGATCATCATCTCCCAGATGGCCATACCCATTTGAGTTCAGATGAGACTAGTCTGGAAGAAGGAGTATCGTCGGAGCCACAGACCCCTCGCCTCTGGGATGTTCGCATACATCCCATGCTCTGTACAACGCTTCATGACGCCCAGGTTCGTAAATCCGTTCCTTTGTCCCATTGTACCCTAACGCGACATTTGGCAAATTTGTCCTTCCCCCTTCCCACCTTACTAGCCATTATCGGCGAGGATAGTATCCGCCGGACGGAGTGGCCATTCGCATTCACGGCCTCACAGCGGCGTACCCCAGCCTAATGACGAAGCTACCTTTCAAAGCTCCCCACTGACGCGTCCTCATTCTTCGCTCCCAGAGACATTACGACATCCTACCCACTCCAATCCATCACCCTCCATCCCCGTTTCAGACCGGGACAAGCTAGAAGTAACCTTCCTCGTCGCCATGCCTAACAAATTCAGATCAAGCCATTTCTCACCCGACTCGTCGAACCCTGTGTACCTGGATTCGGAGGGGAATGACGACGATAGCCCATCGTTCGCTCTAGGGACAGCAGAGGCCGTTTGGGACGGAAAGAATGGGCACTTCGTCGAGTTAGAACATTGTTGATGAACTTCACATAACGAACCGTCGATTTCGACCGAATGGTAGAACTGTAGTACTTCCGCGAAGATAACTTATGTATGTACGTGAGGATGGTTGTTCCTGGTAGTGACGAAATTATTATCAATACCCGCTCTTCGCTTAAGGCCCAACTTCCATTCGTGCGTCGTCCGCAATCCCTGCGCCTGCCTCGCGCCTTGATCAGTTGGCTTTAAACTGGAAAGTGGCTCTACTCCGATGATCTCGACGTCCATTGGTTCGGTTATGAAACGAAGTCTGGGCTGGACCCTGGGCTCTGTTCTGCTTAGCCATGGCACAGCCGACGGATTAACTGCACTTGGTATACTGTCGAGTGCTGCTCGTGCCCAACGGTACTTATATTGAAATCTCTCTAAGATGAACAAGAATGCCGACAATGTACCAATGCAGAGTGTGTATGTAGGTGTACAGGTGAATGTATGAGTGTGTATGTGTAAAGCCAATGCGCACAAGTCCATCACGTCCATCTCGTCGGAAAGAAGATACACATGCAGTTTGATGAAACCAGAAGACGAAAATTCTTGATCCGTATCGAAGTGTGATAGGAAGGAAACAAAAGTAAGACGTGGCTTGCCCTAAGCTCAAATCTGGTTTCCAGCACTCCCACCGCGAGCAGGCCCAGAGGTGGATTCGCCTCCAGGGGCAGCGTTATCAGAAAGGACGTCCAGAACGGAGATAGATTTATCGGTCTGTGCATTTCCTCCTCCAGAAGGACCTAGAGTAGTAAGACGGTGAGGAGAGTTGGTTATCGAGTGGTCGTGGACTGACCGGGTGTACCGCTGTAAGCAGAGCCACCCGTAAAGCCGCTGCTTGTTCCATGCTTTCCACTCTTACGGTTAGTAACAAGACTGATGGGAAACGAAACGATGAGGATGAGCATCGGCAAAGATAAATCTAGTCCGCGAGGGAGGGCGAGACGCGTCACGGCGCGTAAAATACAAGACGGAAAGCAGCTTCCACAGAGAAGATGCGGTCCACCACGTTGAGGAACATGAGAAATGTCACATACTCATTGCCACCCGGTCCGGCCGATGAAAGGCCCGTCGAGGATTTTCCACCATTTTGGGCTAACGCGAGGATCAGAAATGGGTTATTTCCCTAAGGATACGCGTCCTTGCGCACCATTGTGAGAGAGAAGTTTGACGAGATGAATCCCACCATCGCCAGACACGCTCCCACCGTTAGCTTCGCCAGTTGACCCAGAATAACTACGTTTGCCAGAGATATGTAACGCCTAGCGCGACGACGGGACAATAAAGGGGAGCGTACCTAGAACCGCCATCATGAGGCAGGGGAGAAGCAACGATGAAGAGAGGGAGAGAAAAGGCGAACGCGATGACGGTGAAGAAACGCATCACGAAGAGTCTCAAGAAGTTATTTCAACGGATACTGGCCGTTAGTGTGTATGGGAAATTCGTTCCAGACGAGAGGAAGAGATGGAAGTTTAGGGAAGGGGGCCCATGCAGAATAAACGGGATTATATATTCATCCCCTTAGAATTTGGGTCCGGAGGCAGCTGGCTCTGGACGAGAGATGCGTCATGGAATGGGCGTCATCCACTGCGAGGTCAGGATGGATGGTTCACACAAGCAACGCCAGCAAATCATACATCCATTCGTGCAGTTTAGGCCAGCACCAGTAGAAAAGAGCAGCGCCTTAGCATCAGAGGCATAGGGATTGCGTTTCTTCCCATAAAAGGAGCGACAGTGTACTGAAGATGTGAAGACGATCGATCCAGACGTTCAGAGCTCTGGACAATGCACTACATGAACAGAAAGGGGAAGACCTTCCCTACATCTTCATTAGGTACTGGGGAGTTATTCAAAGCAGTCACTCATGATCAATGGGAGCCCCAGAGAGTACTCTCGAGCCACCACGGAGAAATCTCTGTGGCCACATATTAGGTAAGCAATCGAGTAACAGCAGACTCGTCAGATTTAAGGGAAGGAAAATCACATCTCATTCCCCGCTTCCCCCCCTTCTCCTTTGGTCTTCATTCGCACCTTTCGATACGGCGCGGCCGTTCACTGCTGTCTCCAGAGAGTGACTGTTGAGCCGATTCAAAGAGCGTGGGAATCGGAATCTCCCGAATAGGACTTGCGCGTCGCGCAACCACCCACTCAAGCCTCCAGGAACGCCCTAAAGCTGAATCACAGTGAAACATGCCAGCAACATCAACGCAGCAGGTCTGTAGGGGATGTTCTATATTCGACAAAAACGTATCCTAAAAAGCTTTGCTGATAAGTATTCCATATAGCTCACCGATCTTGGCAGCACGACAGTTAGTACGTGTTGCATGTCATCAACCTCCTCCAAGAACTAAATTTCGAACACCCGCTTGTTTGTTGACTCTGTTATTGTGCCAAAACAACACGCCGGTCACTATCTCATGGGGAACTCCGTTGAATCTCCACAGTCGTTCACCCATTGGTGCTGTTGTCTGTTGCAGACCACCACGCGCGTGCAGCCGCACGCGCGCCAAATAAGCGTGTCATTGGCGTTCTTTTGGGGCAAGATCATGGGAAGACTGTAAATGTCGCCAACTCTTTCGCTATTCCCTTCGAGGAAGATGAGAAGGACAGTAAGACTTGGTTTTTGGACCATAATTATATCGAGGGGATGTGGCAGATGTTCAAGAAAGTGAATGGTAGGCGGTTCTCTTTGCTAAATTGGGTACGGTCTCTGTTGAGCATATTCTATGATAAAAGCTAGAGAAAGAATGATCGGGTGGTATCATACCGGGCCGAAGCTACGAGGGTCGGACCAAGAGATTAATGACCTCTTCAAGCGATTCATCCCTCGACCAGTGATGGTCATCGTGGATGTTCGTCAACAGGAAGTTGGCATTCCAACCAACGCCTACTTTGCCGTCGAAGAGATTAAAGACGTACGTGGTCACATCATTCCACTAATCTTTTCTCACATGTCAACTTTCAACGAAAAAAGGACGGTACCGAAACCCGGAAAACGTTCTTCCATGTCCCCTCCGCTATCGAAGCAGAAGAAGCAGAGGAAATTGGTGTAGAGCATCTCTTACGCGACATCAAACACAGCACTACCACAACTCTCACCACTCGCGTCGCGGAACAACTCTCCTCACTTCGTGGACTCACCTCGCGTATATCCGAAATTCGCGATTACCTCCATGCGGTAGCTAACTCCCAGTCCACCGTAACCCCATTCAATTCTACTTCACCCTCTACATCTGTTTCATCACTTTCACCAAATCCCCTCCCTGTCAACCATCAAGTTATTTACCACCTCCAAGACGCACTCAATCTCCTGCCCGACCTCGACAACACCTCACTCACATCAGCCTTCACAACAAACACAAACGACCAACTATTGGTGATATACTTGAGTGCTCTTGTTAGGAGTGTGATCGCGTTAGAAAAGTTAGTTGAGAACAAAGCCCAAAATGGTGTTGCCGAGCTCGAGGATGCACCGGGTGGTGCGACGAATGAGAAGACCAACTCGGCAGGGAAGAAAGGGAAGGCACAGCTCAATGGGACGGCAAAGGAAGGGAAGGATGGCAGGGAAGGGGCCGGGAAGGATAGTAACTCCTCCGATAAGTAAATGATAGAATTACCTTTAACACCTTCCGCACGGATCAAAAAGGCTTGCGACGATCGGTTACTTTAATTTGAGATTTGCTAGAGTGCTCGCCATGCTTCGCAAGAACCTGCCTGCATTATTTCAGCCCAATGAACACTTATTATCGATATTGATTATATATACTGAGTATTGCGCATATTGGCAAAGGATACCTATAAGAGAGTGCAACTTTCCATGCTTGATATGGTCACATTTCCTACCCTCCATAATCTGTGCGCATATTGCACCATAGTGTAAGCCCGATTAAAAATCAGTGAAGCAGTGGCAATAGACAAAGATGAATTTGAAGCATGGAATATATGTAAGTAAACCTAGTGGCCTTCTACTTTTTGGAAATATTCTAAACTCTGGATGCACTGACCCGCCATAACTCCGCTCCCAGAAAGTACATTATGCATAACTCTCGATCAAGAGTGCCTTGCCTTGGTGCAAGATTGGGATAACGCCAAAAATGAAGAGATATCGTTGCGTGTACATACGCGACGGATCTTTCCGGCTCACTTTATGCTTTCCCCCCACTTCAAGCCACCATCTTTACCCGTTCTTCTTCGTGCCTTCTTTTTTGCCTCATTTCCCACCTGTATTTTGGATAGTGGATTCGCTCAAATCTATTTTGGCTAGGGCCCGGTTCGGTTCGGTCCCGGTCCGGCGGAAGAGTTCCTGCACCACTAACCGAGTAATGTAATTTTTAATCCGTATGGAATCCGCTTTCAGGTCCCCATTGGTAGGATTTGCCTAAAATTTGCCAGGACTACCTTGATCTCTGAAGCCGTGAACAAAAATGCTTTATGAATGTGTGCGCAATATCGATCAACATGGTGCAATTAATCCTTCGGTGGTTCGGTTCGGTTCGGTTCGAACCCGTTTGCAATAACCCCCCGACTTAGAGAACTAAGTTCCGAACTCCGGTTCACGGTTCGGTCCCGGTGAGAACCGCGGCACCCTAATTTTAGCCTCCATCGGGAATCTGTCGGTAAGAATGAAAAATTGTGCCAGCGTGAACTTCAGGGGACTAGTAAATGTCCGTGCAAAGTGCAATGCCCATTCTTTAAATCGAATGCTACAGTGTAGTGAAGGGTGTTGGTGAAAACTAACCAGTTGTTGGGTGACACATAATTAAATGATGTAGCGTGCCCATGGCGCACAAAAGAAGAGGGGAAAGAACATCCGCGACCGCAATTCGATGATCGATGATTTGCCGGAAAGTTCCGCCGCGACGGATTTCGGCGCTCAGTCTCCTGTTCAGTTAGGCCCTCTGACAAGTCGGACCTGTGAAGAAGACTGATTCGGTATTTTTTTCGCTCCAGTTGAAAGGCCCGTCGAATAGGGAAATGAGTGATGCTGTATGTTCATGCGGTCAAACTCTAAAATGAACCTTTTCACTGCTTTGCTCACCTTCATGCTCAGAGGTTGCCCGAGAGGCGGACTAACCCATTAGACTGTATCGTGTCGCCTTGCGATCAACTGGTCCTCGCCATGCCTTTCCCTTTTTCCTGATTGATTGTTCACGGGAGAAATGGTTGTTCCTGAAATGCCATCTTCCGAACTGCCCGTTTCTTATAATCAACTCTGATATCATGATCTGGTAAACACTCGTCTCCACATGCTTCTTCCACTGATGCAGAAGCAAATGAGATGTGTTCCTTTCATGGGTTGTCCAAAGTAGGAAACCAAGGAAATGCATAGCACGATAACCTGGATATAAAACGTGGGTCGTCGGGTACTCGAGTATCCCCTCATTACCTGGGGAACATATAGCGCAACGCCTGGAACATCTTTGGTACGGTCTCTTGGGGATAACCATAAACAGATCGTCTTTGGCGAGCCCCCTAGTTTACTAGAAGAAATTCGAGTTTGATCCATCTTCTCATGAGCCGGACGGATGCGGATACACATCATGCGTGGAATGCTTCCAGACGACGAAGAGTTTAGCCATGACTCTGCCCATAAATCCACAGCAAGTCCCAATCGCCAATGTTTTTCAAGGTTACCAGGCATGTTATTATTTGCTTGTTCTCTCTGCATCGTATTCGTGCTTGCATGGTCGGCGCATCGTAATTACATCATCAACACGACGACGGTTATCCCTCAGCTCAGGCTTCTCCGTCCCAAACGCGATGGGAAGAAGCTTCAAGGAACAGCAGTGGTGGCTGGAGGAAGGTAAGTCCCACTTTGAGAGAAGTTCCTACCTTGTTACAGTCCCTTGTCGTGTCTTTATCATTTCCCAGCATTGCAGGATATGCAACTGCTCGCGTTCTGTCCGATTACTTTGCACGCATTGTTATCATTGAGCCGGATTACCGAATCGAGAGAACTGCAACGCGTGTTGCTCAGCGTGGTCACTGCCATGTCGCGTTTCCACTGATGGTTATCATCTGTCGAGCACTCTATTCGAATTTTGATGAGGTGGCCGCAAAGATGGGCTGTCCAGTTCATCCTTGCTTCCGAAGGTGGATATTGGGTACGTCCTGGAACTGCTGGCCCACGGCAGCACTCCCTGGGTGTGAGTATCAGAGGGTCATGTGAGTGATCAAGTTGATTACCCTGGGTCTCCTGAAGTTAGTAATCTTCGTTGATGTTAGAGTGGAAAGGGTCCTCCGCGAACTTGCTGCCTCTTACGCAGGGGATTCTTTGGAGGCTATACAAGGAACCGTTACCAGTTTGCATGCTTCCGTGCCATCTTCGGCTTCTATCTCTGCCGTGTCCTACAGACCTTCGATGGGATCAGCCGAAACTGTCACAATGCCCTGCGTGTTTTTTGCGGATTGCAGTGGAGGAAGTGCAATAGCATCGAAATTGCTTCCCCGAGCGACTAGCAATCACCTAGAGGCTCGTTCCACAGCAGCTGCGGTGGCGCAACGCTGGGGCCCATATACTCGCCGTTCCTATGCTCTGGACGCCATGTACAGGTGCTTTTATGTTCCCGTGAAGGACGAGAAGTTGAAGCACCGAATTGCTGGCCTAGTACCACGGAATGACCCCAACTGTGGAAATTGGGCCGGACTGAAAACGTTATACGCCCAAGCCCCTCGTCCTGATGAAGCGGGCAGCGGAGGTCCAAAGGAAGGGATCATCATCCAGAAGGTTCTGGATAATGAATGTGTGTCTCTATCTCTATATTCGTACTTGACATAAACATACTTTCCTATTTTTAGTGCTTATCAGTTACGGCGCTTTGGGTGATGTGACGCCACCCAGCAATCTTGCTCAGCTCGACCTAACTGTTCGTGACACGCATGAGAAATTATTCAAGCTCAAGCCGTCGCTGAAGGATATTTCTCTTTGGGTTTATGCCCTATTTGACCTTCTCCGAGAAAGTCAAGTGGATGACAAGATCCAAATCCTTTCTTCTAAAATAGTGTGTATTCGGGTGGTCCAATGTTGTGGCAATATCCTTAATTTTTTTTAAAGCGTCCCTCGTGTTACATTGACTATTTATCGGCGCCTACCCCCAACAATTTCGTAGCCATCGGAGATTCCGCCATGTGTACGATACCCACTTCCATAGTGGCCACATAACTATGTACTGACGGTGAGCTCTCCCTTAGGCACGAATCCTTTCTTCGCCCAAGGGATGCCGAACGTATTCAAGAGCGTCGTTATGCTAAATACGACCTTACACAAGCACATCACTGGCTTCCCCAACCATACCAACATCTCCTCACTACCGATTTCGCGTTCCTATTTCGCGCTAGCCAATCAAATATGCGGGTACACCTACAATGTCATTCGTTCATTTGACTATGGCCACCCAGCGACGAAGCCTCAAGAAGGAGAAACCCTGGAATACGGTGCCAGATTCAGGGAATACTGGAATTATCTAGATAAGGCTAGTCAGTGGAGTACAGCGGTGGCAAACGCCGTTGATGAGGTGCGTATAGGAACCAGCCCATATGTAGATTTGTTTAGCCCGCTGGTGATGGGGATGGTCTTGTGGGAACAACTCCGAGGTCGAAATGAAGCGGGGACATGTTGAACTATTTGCCTGCCTCCATCCAACAGTCTGCTGCAGACTCGGTCCTTTCCACCGGGTATTCTGGCCATTCAAATACCCCCACCTGAGGCGAACCCTTGCCGAAGTAGACGCGAAGCCCCTATGTGTATCCAATCGCACAAACAAAGTAGAAGCTAGTTATCATGACATAAACATTACAAATTATAATCTCTTGTCCATGGTAGTGTGCTGCACGGATAAACCAGAATAAGCCTGAAGCTTCCCAGACGTACGTGCACACCAGGTCTGAATGGATATGGTCCCCAACTAGGTGGATGGCAATGCATGTCTTCGTAATTTTGGATCCGCGGGTGGAGAAGAGGCAATGCATCACTGTGCGGTCAGCTACGGACCGATGGAAAATTCACGAAGCAGACCAGGTAAGATCGATCGATGATAGAGAGGGAAAATGTAGCGCCCCTTGAGGCCCCATAATCTAGCTCTACCACAGAAGTGATACAGGGTTCCAACACCATTACTAATTTTAACAGACTAGCTTTTCGTCTTAATAATAATGCATTCCCGCTTCAGCCTAAGAAGCCACACAGGGACACAAGCCCGAGTGAGGGCTGTCCACTATACAGTCTCACCGCCCCGCTGCCGTCTGGGCTGCTGGTGCCAAGTGCTACGCCGCTACGCTGTAGGCGGGCTGTCAGGGCAATAGCCCCGAACCCCGAGTCATATGTAAATTAGATACATATAGTCACGTGGGTAAGCAGGAACCTCCGGGTAACTGCTTACACACCACCGTAAAATACACATACTTGTATCACTTACGGCTTTGTGTGCTGAGCTACCCAAAGACCTCACACTTTTTTAAGTGCAAGAGGTGTGTTTTACAACACAACTACATAATCTTAACATCTGACTCGGAAGCGCCTATGGCGCCTAAACACGCCCACAAGGGCAAAGTCACATCTGCAGCAACACTAAAAAGAAACGAGCGGTTTATTAAGAAACCGCAATCTCCCATCATGGGAGATTCAAACCAAAAGCTGTCGTCAGACGACGACGAGGATCAACATGATCCGGCATTAGCAACCACCTCAGGGCTGGTCCCTGAAGGTTTTAGAAACTTACATGGAGTAAGTGCGGGGCCAAATACCCCCAGAACTCCACGACATACCGATCTAACCCAAGCTGGGGAAGATCCCTCACCTCCTCACGAGGTGATCGACTTGTGCGAAAAATGCATAAACGCCGAATGATCAGCCCAAAAAGCTGATCGGATAGAGTCGCAGGAAACTCCAGGGCCCCACTATCCCCTGGAGTCCCCCTCACGTCCCCAAGTCAAGCCCCAAAGGCAGACAAAGGGAAACAAAGGGAAGAGCCCCCCAGTTGGCTATCCGAAAAACTACTGGACTTGTTCCAGGTTCCATCTGAATGGAGGATGGAAAGTGAAGACCAACTTCTTCTCAGGCTAAAAGCCTGAGAAGGCGCGAAGATACGCCCTGAGAGCAGGATCTCCCAGAGCGCGGAAGCTCCAAAAGAACTTCTGCTGTTTACACTCCCACACACCATGCCAGACAAGGCAAGGTCACCAACCTCGGAGGAGGTCTCCGAGATAATGAAGAGGAGGCGAACTGAAATGAGGGAGTTCGCTGAGGAAGCCTTACGCAAAAGTAAGGAAAAACCAGCGAACAGACCCCTCTATGAAAGGGAAGCACCCTCTGCAACGGCCTCGCCTAAACAAAGCGAGCGTGGAGTGTTCACTCCAAGAACCCATTCTGGAACCCCCAGAAGCGGAAATGTCAACTGGGGAGAGTCTCTGCTCGCCCAACCAAACTTCCTCCTGGAAAACCAGGAATTGTGCATAATAAATGTGATAAACTTGATCCAAAAAAAGATCAAGGAAATGAACCATAATAGTATGGCTCGTCTAGAGATAACTCTAGAACGAATGGCCAATGCAATCGATGCGTTGACTGAAAAAATCAGCGAACAGACAAACTTGCTGAAGGAAATAAATTTCTCACAGAAGAGTGAGGAAACAAATAAACACCCCTGGACCACGGTCCAGGACATAAATAGAACTTGTGAAAAATTCACGAAAAGAACCACCAGTGAAAGCACACTGGAATATCATCAGCGACTCGACAGAGACGCTAAGGAGATCCTTCTCCCAAGGATAGGAGAAGATGATGCCAAAAGAAGGCATCGTTCAGAGATTAGGAGGAGAATTGGCACGTACCAAAGGTTCGGCCAAACATCCACTTATGACGGACCTCTCGAACAGAGAGGTAACTCAATCACACCCTCTCAAAACAATGAGAGAATACAAATACAACTTCAGGCGAATTTGCCTGAAACCAAAGAAATGCTGCGAGGAAGATTTCCCCCAGCAAAAACCCCCCCAAAGGAGAGATCTCCATTGGATAGCGACCCTGCGAAGGCAGGGGAGCAAGAAGAGTACCTGGAGAAATGGTACGAAAAGGCCATAAGAATGGCCGAAGTGAGAATACTCACTCCCTACCCAGAAGGAGTGAAGCCTGAAGCCCTAAAGAATGGGCCAGCATTCCCTGACAAGAAATGGTCAGGGGAGAACGACATGGAATCGTTCTGGCAGTGGTTCACAGAACTACTGGGATTCCTTGCCTCGCGAGGATGCAAAGGTCCCCAATTCGATGAAGTCCACCTGGACTGCTTGATTCGTGGATTAGGGGGGCCCGCGTTCGACCTCGGAATTAGACTCCGAGACAAAACTCTCCTCAGAGGAGACGAGGGCATGTTCCTCGAAGTTCTCAACATATTGATGAGAACTTTCATTAAAGCCTCTGCCATGCTGAACGTGACAAAGAAGTACCGCAACATCAAATACAAAGCGGAAAAAGGCCTAAAACAGTTCTACCTAGAACTGTCCAAAGCAGCGTCCCAGATGGTGACGCCGCCAGACCAGGCGTCCTTCAACGCCAGGTTCCTAAACTACATTCCCCTCGAATGGAAGAGGGAAATGATTGCTCATGATAGAATCAGAGCAGACTTCTCCTCAAACAAGGAGATGTTAAAAGCAATATCTCGTGTAGATGAGATAATCGACGGGCTGAAGATGTCTTCAGCCTACAAATCAGGTTACTATACCCGAACAACTACCATGGCAACCACGAGCTGCGGTAGAGCCCTCCCATCAGGAAAGAAGGCTGAAGAGCTGAAACCCAGATGGAAAGAGGATACATCCTCAAAAAACTCGAGGAAAACTGACCAAAAGTCAATTCCAATTTGCGGCAAATGCGGCAAAATAGGGCAAACGAAAGATTGCCCAAGACACAATGTAACAAGCGATGAAAAACCAAGGCACATAGCTGCCATGGAGATCGTGACCTCAACGGATGAAGAGTCAAAAAGCTCATCAGATGAGAAACCAGAGAACAACCCTGGTAACTCCGAAGCATCAAGCTTCGAAGTAGAGGACCCATACGAAGGACCTCAATACTCACCTGACTCAGAGGGTGAGGAAGTCAACGTTGGGACCATAAGGATGGGCCCAATGTCAGTCGTCGACCACGACGACATAAATTACAAAATCAAACTGGCTGTAGCACGCCAGCTAGAAAACACGGCAGACGAAAAAGTCGCTGAAGCCTTGGTGGAAGCACCAAGAAAAGACGCCTTGGGGAAATACACCAAAGTACCCAAGGAAAACAAGGACAAAGGGAAGAAGGACCAAAAGTCCATCGAAACCCAGTCCCCCTTGTTTGATGCGAAATTCTGCATCTCAAAAGATGTGGGAAAATACCCCGCAAACAGACCGCTCTCAACAAAGAGAACGCTAATGGCTCACATAAAATAGCAGGCATAAAAGCCTATGTGCTATTCGATAGTGGAGCCAAAATGGACGCTTTATCACCGGACTTCATCCGCACGGTCCACATCCCAATTCTCCAATTGGAGAACCCAGTCGTCCTTCAAATGGGGACGAAAGGAACAAGATCACAGATCCTGTTCGGAACAAACGTGGACATTGAGATCAACGGCCACGTAGAAAAACACTACTTCGATGTAATCAACATTGACAGATACGACGCCATCTTCGGCGCCCCCTGGTTAAACAAAAACCAGGTAAGCTTAGACTTCCGGTCCCACAAAGTGAGAACGGTGAACAAGGGCAACATAGACACCCTTGGAATAAGCGAAGACCGTGTGGCGAGATCACACAGATGGAAAACTCGAGCAAGAGCTCGAGAACAACCAAAAAAGAAGCCCCCCTGACAGGGAGGCGGGATTGAAACACACCTCAGGGTAATCAAAAGAAAATACCCTGAAGGTTGGCCCAATCCTAGTCCAGAAGGACTAGAACTTCCAGACGTACCACACCTGGAAGGTCTCTCCATGAACAACCCCGAGTTCGAAACACTCAGGGAGTGGTGGAGAGAAAAATTCGAAACCGTAATGGTGCCAGCACCATTAGAAATGCCTCCCTTGAGGGAGGTGAACCATCGAATCCCGTTGAGGGGTCTGAACAAGAAATTTTGGGAAAACACCCTGAGATGTCCTGCAGCACTGCAGGAAGCACTAGCGACCAAAATAGATCGCTATGTAAAAGCAGGATGGTGGTATCCTGTGAACAGCAAGCGAGCATGCCCGCTACTGTGCATCCGCAAAGCAGATGGATCTTTGCGCATGGTAATAGACATGAGGAATTGTAACTCAAACACGATCCTCGATGTCACACCAATGCCAGACATGCGACTGATCCAAGAATCAGTCACCAGAGCAACATACCGATCCAAGATTGATATGTCGGATGCGTACGAACAAATACGCGTGGACCCAGACGACGTCCATAGGACAACATTCTCTATGCCCCACGGGATGTACAACTCGAACACGATGCAGCAAGGAGACTGCAATGCTCCCTGCACCTTCCAGCGCACACTGACCTGGGAACTACGAGGAGAAGTAGGCAGACGCCTACACATCTGGTTCGACGATATATTCACCAGCACAAGCTTGGTGGAAAACCACAATAAAGCACTATTGTGGTTGTTCACTCGCCTAAAAGGGGCGAAATTCTACATAAGCCGGAAAAAATTCCAGCCATTTGCCCCAATCCTAGACGTTCTAGGAAGCCGTGTGGATGAACAGGGCATCCATGCTCAAGCGGATAAAATGGAAAAAATCCGCAACTGGCGAGAGCCAGTAGACCACACAGGAGTCCTAA